GCCCCGACTGAGGCAGGAAGGAGCAGGGGTGGTGTGTAAAAAACCTAGCCGAGGGAGGAAGAGCCTTCTCGGGAATTCACAAGTTATTGCTGGAGCGGGTGGTTCGGGGGTGGTGGTGGTGGAACGGTCGGCTGGTGTTTACAGATGTCATAACAACATGGTCCTGAAGCGTCTGACAGGGGTGTGGTGATTATGGCAATGACCGAACTTCGTCTCCACTTAGCTTGTCTAAGTGGCGGTTCTAGGGAAACAGCGAAGTATTAGATTATGCTCAAAAGGGGAGGAGGAAAATTAAAGGATGACAGGGAAGTCGTCATAAGGAATGTTTTCGATTTGAATGGACCTACGTAATGTTCCACTTTTAATTGAGCGATTTCAACGATCGTTGGGGTTTAAACGCAGAATAAACAGTTTTTAAGTATGTTTTTCTAAAATGCACTATTAAGTAATACCACTACGTCTTTCATTGTTTTTCCTTTGAGGAAACAGTTCTTCAAAACCCCCATTCTTAGCAGTAATGAGTGGTAATCTGCTCCACCCGCCCCCTCCCTCCTGTTGCTTCATTGCTCAGTTCTAGGCATTGTTTTTCCGTAACTTGTTCTTGCATATAGATTTGTAATATTGAAAAAGTAATCCACAAGTGATTCCTGCTCCGTTTTAAAGATTGAGCCGAAATTTGAACTTTTTTAGAATAACTTTGAACTCTTGTTTTTCACTGAAAATTTATTTTTAGAAGTGTTTTTGGGTAGTAATAGATTTTAAATAGTAGAATTTTAGAGAGAATATTTGTTGAGTCTTTTTTCCATATAAAGCAGTATAAAGTATTATGTTAAATTGTGCTAAATACTTTATATTAAAACATTTAATGTTTACAGTCACTGAATTAGGTGTTAATTTTTCCTAATTTACAGATTAAAAACAGGGAAGTTAAGTATTTTACAAAAGGTTATCAGGCTTTTGTTAGGATAGCCATACAACAAAAAGTCACTATCAAGTTAAGAGTTTTTTTCTTTTCACATTTTTTGGTTGTGTTTTTTAAATTTAATCCATTCATGTAGGGAATACTTACTAGCAGTTCTGACTCTCAAATGAATATAAATATTGATGCATGGCATTTTATCAGTTATTGAAAGGAAACTGAATACTGAGCAAAATTTGCAAAGGAAGTTCAAATGGCAGCAGAGAACAGATGCCTGAGGAGTTTGCAGTGTATCAGGGGAACAGAACATTCATTTGTACTCGCATTGTGGGACTTTAAGTTTTCACAGAAGTTGGTGTACTATTATGTACTTTGACTTTTATCTTGGACTGATACATAAAAAGGACAACATACAAAAAAAAAAGAAGAAAAAATCTTCAGTGGTCTCCACACCGTTTCTTATTTATTGATTGTCCCTTCCAAGAGACCTTAGACACAAATTCTTCTTTAAGGCCTTAGCAAGAAACCTTTTTGTTTGCTTTAAAAACAACAACAAAACCCATCAAATCATGGCTTTTTGTTGGAGCATTCCTGTTTTGTAAGCCTTCCTTTTAATCTTTACATTTTGGCTGTCAGGAGATCTAAGACTTGTGTCAATTTTTAAAAATTTTCCTTAGCCTCAACCATGATAAAAAACTATTCTCAGTTGGTCGACTATTTCCTTCTCTTTTGCTCTTAAATTTGTTTTCATCTCATTGGGAATAGGGTATTATTATATTTAGCGCTAGTGTTTTAGTACAGTAATGATTAAAATAAAGTCTTGGTGTTCCTTGATTTTTTTAAAAAAATCAGTGAGATTATTCTTAGATCTAACTTGAATGAATACTTTGAAAAAGTATGAATACTTTGTATAATATTAAGACTTTTGATTGTACAGGTATAAAGAGAATTCCCTGTATTTGTTTTAAGATCTCTACTTTTAAGGGAGGGGCTTATAAATTCAGCCAAAATAATGAAGGCAAACACTGGAAATACTGAACATTCATTTGGCTGATTGAAGTTGGTTTCAATCTAATTTTGCTTCAGTAATCAGGAGGTGGCTTTAGGCCAACAGAGGGGACCAGAGAAACCTGCATTAGCAAAGTTGGAGGTCTTGCAGTGAAAGAGCAGAGAAAAAGACTGATGGAATGAACAGTTTTTTGAAAGGTGTTATGTAGAACCTAAGTTGTAAAATGCTTGTGATCTAATGTGGTAGACTAATTGGGATAATCTTCACTTCACACAAATAATGCTGTCCTTTATATACAAATATTAAGTCTGCTTACTCATCATGACAGATTTTCCAGGATGAGGGAGGGATGTATGCTGAATCGTCCATGAGTCTTTGATTCTGTGGCCAATGAGGCAGTTTGGGGTCAGAATGGGAGTTTGTAGACATGGAACAGAAGGACAGAAAGCACTGCACTCACTGATGGGTTAAGTACTGTATCATGTGTTTTCACTTAATTATTCTTGCAAAACCACTCTGAGTAGGTTGTTACCTGTGAAGGTTAGGTAACTTGCCCTACTTCTCAAAGTGTTGGAGCTGAGATTTAAACACACGGATATTTGTACTATGTTCACATCAATCATTAAAATTTGATTTTGTCTTATGTTTGCAGTCCACTCTCCAGAACAAACTAGATGTAGTTTGTTTGGTATAATGAAGTGGTATAGTGAAAACTGTATTTAGTAAAAGCCAAAGAAGTTTCTTGCCCTGTTACCATTAAAAAAAACAACAGGGCCCTCCCTGGTGGCGCAGCTGGTTAAAGCACTGCACTGAGAAGCTAAAGCCACTTCCGCATGAGTTCGATCCCCGCCTTCCCTGGAGGAGACCACATGGCGTGGCAGACCTCTCCTGACCCGCCCACTGCTCCCCTCAGCAGTGTACTTCGTTGATCTGCCTGTTCTGCTCCCCACTCTGTCTCACTGCCCCTGAGTCTCTGGCCTGTACCCCAGTTCTGTATGTACAAATAAATAAGTCTTAAAAAAAAAAAACAACAAATATTTAATCAGGGTAATATTTGGAAAACAGCTGCTCTCTGTTCCTGCACTCTGAAAGCTACCATTTTCTTTCTTTTAGCTTTTTTCCTCTTTCATATTTATAAATAACTTCGATTGGTCTTTCTTGACACAGCAGTTTTAGACATTATCTGTTGGCTTTCCTCCATATACACATACTGCCTCTCCCATTCTAATCTAGTTACCATAGGCACTTAAGTCAGTGTTCAGTGTATTTGCAGTAATTGTGTAAATGCTAAAATTAAACTATGTAATGTATTGTGGTATCATTTCCTAACTTTTTTCCTCACATTTAATAGCTATTTTTCATCCCTTTTCATTTCTTGAGACAGTTGTCCCTTTATTGCAATGGCTTGGTTACTTTCTAGGCATAGTTCATGATTATTATCCTGAAATACGTCTTTACATCATCTTTAAAACTCTTTGCTCTTTTCCTATATTGGATCTCCTATTTCACATATTTCCTAAGTTTCTGGGAAGGATACTAGGGAAGTAAACACTTTTTGAGATCTTGCATAATGAAAAATCTTTTATACTACCTTAACAGGTCATCAGTCATTTTGCTGCATATTGAAGTGTAGGCCTAAGAAATTTGAAAGTCATTGCTTTATTGTTTTCTCCATTCCAATGTCATTGAAGTTCAAAGTCATTGTGATTTTTTACTTGTGTCTGACTTTCCCTGTCTTTCCTCTAGTCTCCTGGAATTCCAGTGAAGTGATTAGATTTGGGTTTTTGTTTTTGTTTCTATTTATTTTGTTTGCTTATGCATGTAAAGGTAATTCCATGGACCCTTAACAAGCTGGGCATTTATTAACTATTTAATAAATTTTAACTTTGGGAAAATTTATTATTTTTATTATATTTTGGACCTCCGGTAAAATGTTTTAGAGACAATTATGCTTTTCAGTTCTTGACACACTATCATCAGATCATACAAGATCCTTATTTTTTCATTTCAGAGCCACAATTCCTATTAGTCCCCTTTCCAGTAGGCACTGGCTCCCTTTTGGTTTGTACATTCTTTGGTTACATGAGTCACTGTGAAATATGTGAATGTATTTAGCTTATATGTTGTGTTGGAAACCTTTCCTGTTAAGCTTTGTTACCCAGTATTGTTTTAGAGAGCTTTCTGTATATGTAGTTGTGTATAATACAGTTTCAAAATGTGGCTCTTAGCACATTTCACTTTTTTCTTTTCTAATGATTGACATGTGAGTTGCCTTTATGGTATCACAAATAAATTGTGGTAACTGTACTCTTATTTGTAGTTAATACTGACCTGTGTGAGACATTTTCTGGAGTATCTGCCCAAAGTGGAATTCCTGTGTCATAAAATAGGAAAGTAGTTTTATGTGGCTACTAGCAGTGCAAGAGGCTTCTTGTTTGCCTACATCTCTGCCAGTAGTTGGTTTTATTGTACTTTCTGATTTTTGCTTGTCTATTGGATGTAAAGTGGTATCTCACTGTTTTTATTTTAGGCTTACCAGTGAGTTTGAGCCATTCAGGTTTGAGCCATTCAGGTATTGTCTTTTGATAATTGTCTGTGATGGCTTTTGTCTTTCCTTTGGGTTTCTTGTCTTTTTGGTTTGCAGACATTTTTGTGGAGGCTATATTTGAATTGAGTCTGTTGATTTTAGACTTGGAAAAATATCTTCCTTAAGCCTTTTATCTTTGCAGATTTTATTTATGGTATCCTTCACTGATTGAATATTCTGAATTTGATACATGGTTCCTTTGATAGTATCTTTCTCATCACTTTCTTGTTTTCTGTTTAGACTGAGCTTTCTTCAAGTGTTAACTTTTTAAATTTTCTGTTGAATTTTAAATTTTTATACATATATTAAATTTCTTAGTAGTCATTCTTAGAATATATTTTGTTTTATAGGTACTATAATTCTTCTGAAGTTATTAAGGACATACATATATTTATTTAATTAAAGTTTTCTTTTTCTTTCACGTTGGCTCTGTTTCAGGGTCTGTTGTCTCTGTTTTTCTTTCATAGAGTTTCCCCAGGTGCCTGGTAGTCTTATGTACCTTCCGATTAAGAGTGAAATTCTTGAAACTGAATTGGAAGTTCTAGGTGTGACTTGTTCAGGGGTGGATAGGAGAGGAGGTAGCCACTTTTGGGGGAAAAGAACTCTCCTAATCCTTTTGGGCTGGTTATTTTCTTTGAGAAAGATAGCCTCCAGTTTTCTTACCTGGAGGATATTATTATGTACCTGGCTGTCATGTTTTGAGAACTCCTTTTAGAAAATGAATTGGGTTCTTACTATTAATTGTGTTAATGGAATCCTGTTTTTTTAAATTCTATATCTTTCTGTATACCTCACCTGAACCTTCACCTGCCCACTTCAGAGATTCTAGTTTCTTCAGAGTAGCCCTCTTAATTTTTTTTAGGTGCTGGGGAGGGATGTTGCCTAGCTATGCAGAAAGGAGAAGAAAAAGTAGATATGTGATCACTGTAGACTTCAGCTAAGCTTATTTCTAGTAACATCAGAGATACCTGGTGGTACTCTTGTTGTGAAGCCTCCCTTTGTGGGCAACATGAGTCAAGTATTTAGGCTTCAGAGTTCTCCATTTGCTGCTAAAATGCTATTTGGCCATCTGCTTTATAGCTTCTGCGGTTTTGACATCTTAGCTATTATCTGTTCTCTCTCCTTGTGGTTCATTCCTTACAGAAAGGTTTACAAATTAGTTTACCATATCAAATGCTTTATTTCTTTACATAAGAAAAGCTTGTTCTTTTCATTCTTTCCACAGCCTTTTAATGTCTGCTGTTTGCTTCTTACTGTGTTTAGTATTGAAGATTATAATTTTGTTTTGAATTGATTTATTTTAGTGAGAAGTGTATATTCTTTATGTGCTAATACTTAATTTGAAATGTGTAAATCCCTTTAAATGGTTAGATATATGGCAGAACTTATTAAATTTCAGTGATGAATATGCGTAAGATGAAAGGGCAAGTTTTGTTTGTTTTTCTTTAATTTTAACTGTGAAGGAACCTTTTGTGCTTTTTTGGAAAAGAGATATTGAAAACAAAACCAACTATAAGGGAAGAGGTAGTTTTTCTCTTTCATAAAGATCTAAAATATACAGTCAGAACTTTGATAACATAACAGCATGTTAATAAAATTTTAACTCAGAGTAAAGAAATTCATCGTGAGGCAATTTTGGTAGGTTCATTGTAGTCAGGATATACTTTCAACTCTTATTTGAAAGTTTTTCAAATATTGCCACCATATTGCTTCTGTACAAAATTTGGGAGGTAAAGGAATATTAATTAAGTTTTTTTATTCCTGAGTTATGGAGTATTTTTTAAAGTAAAATGAATAAGTTGGGTTTTATTCCCAGCATCGAGATTTTCATAAGTTAGTATTCTGTTTTTTCTCATTTCTTAGTATATCATGATTATTCTCCATACCCAAGATCTCATTTTGGAATTTTTAGATCTATAATTTTTCACTGTAACAATTACTCTACACAGTGAACATTCTAATTCTAATATGTGGTACTTTTTTATTCCTTTTGGGTATAAGTAGAGTTAGTGAATGCTGGGGTGTAAATCCCCAAACTTCTTGGTTAATATTTCCTTTAAGTGTTGGAATATTGAGAATATCTTTTGTGGGAACCTTGTAAGTTGGGAGCCCATAGATATGGAAGGTGAAATCAGTACTCAGGATTGAAAGTCATAATAAACAGCAGTGAAAGAGGGTCTGAAGCAATGGCATGAAAGAAAATAAGTACTTCTGTTAGATTCATGGAATTGGAGCTAGAGCTGTAACCGGAGATGAGCACCTATGAATTGACAACAGCATTGACTTCTCATTAGAGAGGATTATTGCAGGTTTTTCCCCAAACTTTACTGCCATTGAGCACTAGCTATTGTCAGTATAATAAAGGTAATTTTTAATTGTTTAACTGGGAGAAAATGGGTTAGATGGACTTAATTTAGTTTTTCTTCCTGAATTTTTGTTAGTCTTTTAAAAAAAGGACTTGCCTCTTCTTATTTGTAACAAATGAATAATTAATATTCACAAGTGTACTGAACATTTTTTGTACTTAAATTCATTTTTGTGTAAATATATTCATAAACCCATAATTTATTTTTTAGTGTAGTTTCTTGTGGTTTTGGTTTTTTAATATTAAATGTACAACATGTTTTCTAATAAGGTTATATTTCATTTACACGATGATGTATATTAGCATTTTATGGTTCTACAAAGAACATTATAAATGTCAAATATTGAGACTATTATGTGCTTGAGAGTTATAGACTCAGTGGATTGCTCTGCACACTACATGTATACCATCTTGACTATAATAAAAGAATACTGCAGTGAGCTGTGGGTATGGATTGGTATTGAATGAATCAAGACCAGTGAATCTTGTACAACAAAAATATTCAGATTTGATCTAAGAAATGCTAAACACACATTTAATTATTGAAGTGGTACAATGTAAAAGGTGTTGATACTAAGAGCTGAATGAAGATTAAATAGTTGAGTAAAAAGGTGTTTTTAAAACTGTTGCAGGATAAACTCTTACTCTTCACCGATAAAGGCAAAGAATCTGAATAGATGGTTCTTTTATGGATGATATATAGTTGATAAAAATGTGATGAAAAGATGCTTCGTTTCAGTAGCCATCAAATAAATGCAAATCAAATCAGTAGATAAAATTTCACGCCTATGAGGTTAGAATAAAAAAAATGTGATAACAAATATTGGTAAGGATGGATATCCCATATACAATGGTCATTTATAAAATGGTGCAGTGGGCCCTCCCTGGTGGCGCAGCGGGTTAAAGCACTGCACTGAGAAGCTAAAGCCACTTCCGCATGAGTTCGATTCCCGCTTGCCCCAGAGGTGACCACATGGCGCGGCAGACGTCTCCTGACCCGCCCGCTGCTCCCCTCAGCAGTGTACTTCGTCGATCTGCCTGTTCTGCTCCCCACTGTCTCTGGTGAATCCTCTCACCGCCCCTGAGCCTCTGGCCTGTACCCCAGTTCTGTATGTACAAATAAATAAATCTTTAAAAAAAAAAAACAAAACTATTAAAAAAAAAAAAACATTGTTCACTGCAACGCTGTTAAATAATTTCTGCAGTGTTGGCCTGGGCATGTAATGTTTAAAAGATGGCATTTTCAGAATAACAGACATCTTTACATTTAACTCATTTATTCACTACCATCTTTCTCTTTTTCTTCCAAGAAATCATGACCACCCCAGGAAAAGAGAACTTTCGCTTGAAGAGTTACAAAAATAAGTCTCTGAATCCAGATGAGATGCGGAGAAGGAGGGAGGAAGAAGGACTACAGTTACGAAAACAGAAAAGAGAAGAGCAGGTAAGTCATTTACCCTTATTAATTTATTTTTAAAAATTTAATGTTCCATTTTAAGCCTAAAACTACATTCCTTTATTTTAACAATAACTGTTTAATATACATGTGCTTATATACTCCTCCCTAACACCCTTCACACATAAACACTATAAGATCAACATGTGTAGGGAGTGTGGGAAAGGAAAGTAGTACAAGTGGAATAAAGACTGAAGACTTCTTTCAGGTTTTTCTGTTTCCAGTATAACTACTGTTTAATATTTTGGCCTATTTATCTTTAGCATATTTTATTTTTCTAAATTGAATCTTCCTTAAGATTTTATGTTCATGTTTTTTTAATTCTTATGCGACAGTACAGCATTGCTTTTCATTGTAAACTTTTAATTTACAGTAATAAATATTATAAAAATTAAAATTAAAAATTATAAACGTGGCCCTCCCTGGTGGCGCAGCGGGTTAAAGCACAGCACTGAGAATCTAAAGCCCCTTCCGCATGAGTTCGATTCCCGCCTGCCCCGGAGGTGACCACATGGTGTGGCAGACCTCTTCTGACCCGCCCACTGCTCCCCTCAGCAGTGTACTTCTTCGATCTGCCTGTTCTGCTCCCCACTCTGTCTCTGGTGAAGCCTCTCGCCGCCCCTGAGCCTCTGGCCTGTACCCCAGTTCTGTATGCACAAATAAATAAATCTTTAAAAAAAAAATTATAAACGTTAAAAATATGCTATATAATGAACTTCATAAACTTTTCCTTTGAGTTCAGTAATAGCATTGTCATACTTGCTTCATGTTTGTGTGTATATATTTTTATTTAAAATATAAAGCAAAACTTTAGAGAATATTTCTTTTTATCCCTAAATAATTCTGTAATTTAACAAATTAATTGTTTGATGAACTTTAATCCAAGAATACCTACAGGTGAATCTGGAACTCACATTTTCACTTCTATCTTCCTCTATTTTCCTTTACTTTCCTTTGAGATCAGATACAGGACAAGGATGTGTCCATTCTCAATGGACACATTGAGATACACAATACACAGCGTAGTATTGAAAGTTGGAGCCAGAGCAATTAGACAACTGAAAGTGTAAAAAGAGTCTAAAATGGCAAAGAAGCAAAGCTATTACTATTTTCAGATGAAAATTCTGAAAGACTCCGCTAAACTATTAGAAATATTGAATTAGTAAAGTGTCAGGTTACAAAAACCAATGTACAAAAAAGTCTTGCATTTCTATATACAAATAATGAAATAGAAAAGAAAGATATCAAGAAAAACAGTCCAGTTTACAGTAACATCAAAAGGCATTAAATACCTAGGAATAAGCCTAACAAAGGAGGTAAAAGACCTATATTCAACAAAAATTAGAAGACATTTAAAATAAATATGAGTACAGAATGAGGATGTGGAAGAATACTCTATGCTGGTGGATTGGAAGAATTAAAATTGTAAAATGCCCATCTTGCCTCAAATACCATATTGATTCAGTGCATTGGCGTTCTTAGAAATTGAACAAACAATACTCAAGTTTGTATCAAACTACAAAAGACTTTGAATAGCCAAAGCAATCTTGACAAACAGGAAGAGGGATAGAAATTTAAAACTATAATACAAATTTATAATAACCAAAACAATGTGACAGATACTGGAATAAAAATAGACACAGTAGAATGGAATTGAGAGAGCTCAGAAACAAACCAACAATATATAGACAACTAATTCTGTGACAAAGGAACTAAGAGTAAACAACAGAAAGGAACCATTTAACAATTGGTATTGGGGAAATTGGACCACTCTCATAGCTATACAAAAAATAACTCAAAATGTAAAAAGACTTGGATGTAAGGCCGGAAATTATAAAATATATAGAATAAAGCATTGGAAAAACACTCAATGACATTGGCTTCAATAATATTTTTGGGCACTTCTCTCCAGTAACAAGGAAAACAAAAACAAATTAAATAGGACTACATTAAATTAAAAGCTTCTGCACTGAAAAAACAAACAAAACACAGAAACTACTATTAAAATGAAAGTACTGGGCCCTCCCTGGTAGTGCAGCGGGTTAAAGCACAGCACTAAACAGCTAAAGCTACTTTAGCATGAGTTCCATCCCCTCCTGCCCCAGAGGTGACCCACATGGTAAGCCAGACCTCTTTTGACCCACCTGCTGCTCCCCTCAGCAGTGTACTTCAGTCGGCCTGTTCTGCTCCCTACTCTGTCTCTGCTGAATCCTCTCACTGCCCCTACATCTCTGGCCTGTACCCAAGTTCTATATGTTCTGTATGCATAAATAAATAAATCTTTTAAAAATGAAAGTACATACTACAAAACGGGAGAAAATACTGATATGCCGTACACCTGACAAGGGGCTGATATCCAGTATATGCAAAGAACTGATAGAAGTCAACAAATAGAAAACAATAAAAAAAATGGGCAGAAGAGCTAAATAGACAACTCTTTAAAGAAAAAATAGAAATGACTGATGGACACATGAAAAAAAATGTTTAATTTTTTTTAAACATTGCATTTCAAGGAAATACAAAATAAAACCACACCTTATTCCAATTGAGTGGCCCATATCAACAAAACCATAAATAATAAATGCTGGCAAGGATGTTAGAGAGAAAATCCTCAAATACCATTGGTAGGAATGTAGACTGGTTCCAGCCCCTAAAGAAAAAAATACGGTGGTCCCTCAAAATACTAACAATAGATGAACCATATGGTCTAACAATAACGCTCCTTGGTTTTTGTCCAAAGAATGCAAAAGAATATATGCACTTCTGTGTTCATTATAGCATTATACCCAACTTAATGGTAGTAACCTAAGTGCCCTGCAGCAGATGAATAGATAAAGAAGATGTATACATGCACAATGGAAAGAGTACTAAGTTGTAAAAACATGAAATCTTGCCATTTGTGACAACATGTATGGAACTGAAGGGGATTATGCTAAGTGAAATAAGTCAGAAGGAGAAAGACAAATACTGAATGATTTCAATCTTATGTGGAACATAGAGTAGCAAAGGAACAGACAAAGTTAAAACAAATCTAGAATTATGACTATAAAATTCAGGCTGCTAGAGAGGAAGGAATAGGGTGGGGGCCAGTGGTCCCTGGGAGAGGACTATATACTTGGTGGATACTGTAGATCTGAAGAGGTATGAACCCATTACCTAAATCATACAGTATTGTAAACTAGTGCCTTATAAAATAGATAAATATGAAAAAAGGAAATGTTACGATGACACTGTTGTTGATATAACTTTTTCTTAAAGATTATTTTTATAGAACTGGGGTACAGGCCGAGGTGCAGGGGCAGCGAGGGTGTCACCAGAGTCAGAGTAGGGAGCAGAACAGGCAAATCGACGAAGTACACTGCTGAGGGGAACAGCGGGCGAGATGGAAGAGGTCTGTGCCCTGTAGATCTCCTCCGGGGCAGGGATCAAACTAGCTGGTGGCTGAGGGACAGCTTTATGTGCTGTGCTTCAAACCATTGTGCCACCAGGGAGGGCCAGTATACTGTTCATTTTGTTCTTTTTCTTGGTAATGGTTGATTTTCTGTAAATTTCCTTGTAGAATGTATATTTAAAAAAAACTTTAGAGCTTCTGTACAGCAAAAGAGACATTACAAAACAAACAGACAGCCCACTAATTGGGAAAACATTTTCTCACACAAAAGTAGTGATAAAGGACTGATCACAAAAATATACGGAGAACTGATGAAACTCAACAAAAATAAACAACCCCACCAAAAAATGGGCAGAAGAGCTAAAAAGACACTTCTCCAAAGAGGAAATGCAGATGGCCAACAAGCATATGAAAAAGTGTTCAACATCACTCGTAATAAGGGAGATGCAAATTAAAACCACAATGAGATACCACCTCACCCCAGTGAGAATGACACATCTTCAAACAACTAGCAACAACAAATGTTGGCGAGAATGTGGAGAAAAAGGAACTCTCTTGCACTGCTGGTGGGAATGCAAACTAGTACAACCACTATGGAAAACTGTTTGGAGGTTCCTCAAATTGCTAAACATGGAGCTTCCCTACGACCCAGCAATCCCACTCCTAGGCATCTACCCAAAAGACACAAAAACACTGATTCAAAAAGATACCTGCACCCCCATGTTTATTGCTGCTTTATTTAAAATTGGAAAAACATGGAAGCAGCCCAAATGCCCAAAAGTAGATGACTGGATAAAAAAGATGTGGTACATATATACAATGGAATATTACTCAGCAACCAAAAAAGAGAAACGCATGTGTTTTGCAGCAACTTGGATGGAGCTGGAAAAGATCATGCTTAGTGAGATAAGCCAGAAAGAGAAAGAAAAATACCGGATGGTTTCACTCATAGCAGGAGTATAATGGACCAGGCGAGAAAATAACAAAAATAATGAACAACCATATACCAGAGACATTCTGTGGGGGTGGAGTGGGGAATGGGATCAAAAACGGGGGTGTGGGGAGGGAAGTGCACCGGTGACTTGGTGATGGGAAACCCGCGGGGATTACAATTGAGATGGAAAAAAAATATATACAAAATGATGTAAAAATAAACTGTTATAAAAAAATAAAATCAAGGTTCTTCTTAGTGGTGCAATGGGTAAAGCTCTGCATTATGAAGCTTTCAGAAGCCATTGCAGCATGAGTTCGATCCCCAGTCTGTGAGCTGACCCACATGGCGTGACAGACTTCTCTTGACCAGGATGCTGCTCCCCTCAGCAGTGCGTTTCAGTATCTCTGCCTGTTCTGTTCCCACTCTGTCTCTGGTGAATCCTCTCACCCACACCTTAGGCCTGTATCCCAGTTCTGTAAGCATAAATAAATCTTAAAAAAAAAAAAAAAATTAAATGAGCCCAAATATTCTGTACATCTAGTAAAACTTTTTATAATTTACATCATTTTCATTGTGGGAGATCTGAAATTGTGTTAGGGCTTTAATTAGTTTTCAAGAGAAGTTTTCTGGATTTTAAGTTACTCTACTTAAAATTTTAATTTTGTCATTTCATGTATACCATCTTTTTTTTTTTTAAGATTTATTTCTTTATTCATACTGAACTGAGGTACAGGCCAGAGGTGCAGGGGCAGTGAGAGACTTTACCAAAGACAAAGTGGGGAGTAGAACAGGCAGATCAGTGAAGTACACTGCTGAGGGGAGCAGTGGTGGGCCAGGAGAGGTCTGCTGTGCCATGTGGGTAAACTGTGGGGCCGGGGATTGAACTAACACTGAAGAGGCTGTGACCATCTTGCAGTGCTGCATCCTAACCCGTTGTGCCACCAGGGAGGGCACTCATGTATACTATCTTAATGTATGGAGAACTGCTTGAACTAATTAGGCATCTTAATACCACAGCATTACTAGTTTTATGTCTAATTTGTTAAATAGTGAATACCAGTAAAATACATATTCAGTTAGGTATTGCTTATCTTTTCAAAACTGCTTTGTTATCAATGGAGAAAAGTCATTGCCCTAGCCAACTGAACATCTAACTGAACAGCTAGATTTGAGATTAATAAAGGAGTTGAGGCCCTCCCTGGTGGCACAGCAGGTTAAAGCACAGCACTAAGAAGCTAAAGCCACTTCCGCATGAGTTCGATTCCCGCCTGCCCCAGAGATGACCACATTGCGTGGCAGACCTCTCCTGATCTGCCCGCTGCTCCCCTCAGCAGTGTACTTCGTCGATTTGCTTGTTCTGCTCCCCACTCTGTCTCTGGTGAAGTCTCTCACCGCCCCTGAACCTCTGAACTGTACCTCAGTTTTGTATGTACAGATAAATAAATCTTAAAAAAAATAAAATAAAATAAAGGAGTTGAGGGCTCTTCCTGGTGGCATAAGGTGTTAAAGTGCAGCACTATGAATCTACCCAAAGCCATTGCAGCACTAGTTGGACCCCTGGCGCAGCATACCTCTCGTTTCTCCTGCTCCCTTCATCAGTGTATTTCAGTACACCTTGCCTGTTCTGCTCCCCACTCTGTTTAGTGAATCCTCTCAGCCCCGCACCACTGGGCTACACCTCAGTTTTTTTATGCCTAAAGAAATAAATCTAAAAAAGAAATACAGGAGTTGATGTAACCAAGTTATCAATGTTGGGTTCTTCATTCAGCACTTATCTAACTAAAATTGATTTTTGGCAAAAATCTTAATTGTTGTAGTCATCCTAATTAAGCCTGTACTTGTAATAGTTTATGAACAACAAAAAAAATCACTTCATTTACTATTAAAGATTTCCAACTGAATGTAGATTCTTTGGGATTCAACATAAGTAGGTTGCATACTATGGTAAAAACTATAGTGAGAAGGAGGGAGTCTTGCTTGGTGGTTTTACTTATAAAAAGTATCTTTGGAAGTGATGAGCAAGTTTATAAGCTTGTGAATAGGCAGCGTTTTCCCATTGATTACCTAATGGTGGCAAGTTCAGGCATATTGAGTCTATAAATAAGGTATACAAATCATGGTTATTTTTGCCAATTTTTTTATTTTTAAAAATTTCATATTTTCTGAGTAGTAGTTGAAAAAGTTAAATTGTGCTCTAATACTTGAGACCGAACCAGCACTGTACCTACTCTAATACCCTTATAAATCATTTTCAAACTTCTAAACTTTTGAATGTGGTTTATGTTACTACATTTCTAATTAATATGTCTGTGTTACTCTATTTATCAATTTAAATTATTGTCTGTTGATGTACTTTTAGGCCAGGTAAAAATTTAAGATCTTAGATTACTCTTTCCCTTACCTCCATCTTCCTGTTTAGTTATATGACTATGTGTTATTTTTTGGTGAGATGAATAGTGTACTGTGACTGCATTTCCTTTTTTGTACTTTGCTTTTTTCTGGAGTTATCTATTTTACCTTGGTTGGCCGCCTTCCTTGAATTCCTAGCTGCCTGTTTTTTCTTTTCTTTCAGCTCTTTTGTCCGATTTTCCACTTGATTAAACTTACCAAATAATTTATCACTTTCATTTTTTCCCCTCTCTGGATACCTCTGCTCTACATTTTCGTATTTCTGCTGCCTTCAGTATTATTTATTCTTGGGGCTTATTCCTTAACTGTCGGTGTAGCCTTTCTCTTCGCTAAGAATTTCTCATCTTCTGAAATGATGTTATATCCTTGTGATATAAATGGTATTACATTTTTAATTTCAGATTCCAGTTATTGGCAGTTGTTTTGTTCATGAGCTGTAGTAATTTAAGGTCACTAGCAATGCCCTACCATGCCATATTATAGTAAATAACACTGTGGAAATAAGTTTCTTAGTACCAGTAGATAATGTAGTTGATAAAGCTTGGTTTTGTAGTCTGTGTTTTAAGTAATTACAAGACAAACTTAAATCAGAATGAGGTTAGAAGTCCTTAAAAATGAACCAAAGAAATCTGTTGACCTTAACTATGTCATGCTATTGGCTAAATCATGCAGGAATTATTTTAACATACTTTAAAATACAGCAGTATGATAATCTTATGGACAAAAAGAAGTATAAAATTGTAAACTACTTTTAGTAATCATGTAAGATTACTAAAAGTAATCATGAAACTGTATTTTGTATATAGATAAAGCAAGCAAGTATTTGTTAATATTCAGAACCTGGCTTTTTTAGCTTATGAAAATAGGGGAATATAAAACCAAGTTATAAAATTGAGTTGGTTAATATCATTGGGAGTCATGATGTATTTTCTTTAAAAATAACACAGAAACCCAACTCAGAAATAGTGAAATACTTTGAAGCATTGAGCATCCTTAGAACCTTGAGATCGTGGTTATTAGAGTTTTCACTCAAACAAGATTTTTTGGAAAAATAGTTGATTCACAGTTAAAAATAGGGACTATTGGCCCTCCCTGGTGGCGCAGCGGGTTAAAGCACTGCACTAAGAAGCTGAAGCCACTTCCGCATGAGTTTGATTCCCGCCTGCCCCGGAGGTGACCACATGGCGTGGCAGTCCTCTCCTGACCCGCCCACTGCTCCCCTTAGCAGTGTACTTCGTTCATCTGCCTGTTCTGCTCCCCACTCTGTCTCTGGTGAAGCCTCTCACTGCCCCTGAGCCTCTGGCCTGTACCCCAGTTCTGTATGCACAAATAAATTAAAAAAATCTTTAAAAAAAAAAATAGGGACTATTCAGGCTGAACCTATAGTATTTCTTAATAGCTTAAAAGAAGGGCGTTATTAGATCACTGAAATTGTGTTTGAAAGATCAAGGAAGAGGCTTAAACTGGCTCCCATTAGCCAAAAATGGGATATATGAAGTATCAGAGAGGATTCCATGAGAGGAATTCCATCTAGTCAGAGAGAGTAGAAAGGTCCACATTTACTTTCCTATCTAAAACAACTGTGTGTAAAGAGACAATATGCTTTTTTTTACTCTTTAGAGTTAGAGCATGTTCTTTTTTATTTTATTACAATTTATCTATCTGTCTGTCTGTATTTTTTTTTCCTGATTCCTTACACTCTTGAGTGAAACCATCCAGCATTTTTCTTTTTCTTTCTGACTTATTTCACTAAGCATGATCTTTTCCATCTCCATCCATGTAAACCAGAGACATTCTACAGGGGAGGAGAGGGGAACAAGACCAAAACAGGGTGGGAAGAGTACATGGGAGAAGCACAAGGGACTATGGTGATGGCACATGGGTGAAGTGGTGGTTGTAAGTCCACGGGGATTACAACTGAGATGAAATATGTACAAAATGAAGAATAATGTATATGTATATATATATATGTATATATATATATATAATAAAATTTTAAAATCCTGAAAAGGATTAGAGCATGTTATTGTACCTCATCATGACTCCCTAGGACTCTTTAGAATAATGGGAGGCAGCTTTTAATCCACTATTAGTGAAGGTTAAGAGTAAAGTGTTAAAATGACCTGGATTTATTTTAATCCTCATTTCCCCAGATGTAGTGGTAAGGCTATCCTATCACTTACTTTGTCTCACGGGAAGAGGGCATGACCAAGCATGCCAAAGGTCCTTTTTCACATTTTCACATTTCACCTTTTGTTTTTTTAGATTTTTTAAAAATTTATTTATTTATGCATATAGAACTGGGGTACAGGCCAGAGGTGCGGGGTGGTGAGTGGCTTCACCCAAGACAGTGGGGAGCAGAACAGGCAGATCTAGGAAATACACTGCTGAGGGGAGCAGCGGGCGGGTCAGGAGAGGTCTGCCACGCCATGTGGTCACCTCCAGGGCAAGCAGGAATCGAACTCATGCTGAAGTGGCTTTAGCTTCTTAGTGCTGTGCTTTAGCCCGCTGCGCCACCAGGGAGGAACCCCACATTTCACCTTTTTTATATGTCATTTAATGTCAGGTTTGCATTAGTGAATTTTACCTCATTAAAGTGTTGTGTTATATCATGTTATATAAAGTGTTATATTGTTTTTGAATATAAGACTTGGAAAATGCTGAAATATATCTTTAATAGGTAAGGTTGATGGAGACTCAGACTTTAGAATTTTAAAAATAAGTTTCAAAGAATTTCATCCTCAGTGATGTATAGATTGTTTTCTAGTATTTGGATGTTGAATTACCTTGTGTTAAAAGTTGCTGTAGTAAGTTATTTATTTTTCAGTTATTCAAGCGAAGAAATGTTGCTACAGCAGAAGAAGAAACGGAAGAAGAAGTTATGTCAGATGGAGGCTTCCATGAGGCTCAGATTAATAACATGGAAATGGCACCAGTAAGTAAGATAGAGAACTACTGTTACTAGTGCTTTTCTGTTGAAGATACAAAGTTGGATGACTACAAAAAGTATGTGGCATTTCATTTTTAAAAGAAGTCATAAACTATCTCATGATTCATTAAATGTTTGTTGTATTTTGAGTAACAAAATTAAATAAATTATGAAAATTAATTCAGATATAAAAACTTACAAAATGAAATTATTCCTTAAATGCTGAATAATAAGGGATACTTTAAAAGAAACCCCAATTTGTCCTTTTCAGTTACAAGAACGGGTGTTTGATTTAAAAAGTTGATTCCATGTAACTGTTAGGATTTTCTACTGTAACCCATTTTGTGACTTTCTTACATTAACACAAAAATTATGTTTTGTTTGTATGGATCACTGTCTAGATTTTTAGTTTATTATATCTAATGTTTTAATATGTTATCTGTTTATATACATGCATGTATATTTACATGTGTGCACACATGGACACGCATGCAGGTTTTTTTGTTGGTTTTTTTTTAACTTCCTTACCGTTATCATCCAATCCCCTGCAGCTACTGAGGGACAATGCTGTGTGTGTTTATTCAAACATTTAACATAATAATGCTATGCTTATTTTATTTATTCAGGAATCAGTCTTATAAATTTCAAAGTACTTTTCTTACTCTTAAGAGGAGACTGCTTCACTCTCTTATCAGAATTCTTCAGTATTGGGTATTGCTTTAGCCATCTAGCATTTACAACTCAGTGTAGCTTTCTTCAAAGTTCCTTCTTTAATCATTATTTATATTTCATTTAACCGTTCATACAATAACTTCATTGTGACAAATGATCCTGAAAAGAAAGTTTACTAAGTCAGATAGGTTGAGTGGTAGTGGGAAATAGAAAAGTTCTAGTAGAACAAAAAAAAGAAGTGGGAACCAGGCCCTCCCTGGTGGTGCAACAGATTAAAGTGCAGCACTACAAAGCTGACCATAGCTACTTTAGCACAAGTTCAATCCGTGGCCAGGGACGTAACCCACATAGCATGGCAGACCTCCTCTGTCTTGCCTGTTGCTCCCCTCAGCAGTATACTTTGTCAATCTGTCTATTCAGCTCCCCCTCTGGTGGGCCCTGTTACCACCTCTATACCTCTGGCCTATACCCCAGTTCTGTATTCATAAATAAATAATCTTTAAAAAAAAAAGAAACCAAAAAGTTTTAATAAAGCAAAAACCAGAACTTTAAATGAATTCAAGAGCAATCTATTAGATGTAGCAGTAGTTAGATCTGTGTTTATGTGAGACTATATTCACTTAATAAATATTGAGCACACACTGTGCAAATCAGGAGCTTTGGTATATACTGGACAATAAAGAAATAATACAGAAAAATAATATTTAATAGTGAAATGGGCTGGGTACAGGATGAAAATAGTGGTGTGGTAGAGATGGAATGACTGCTGTGAAGGCCATCAAAACCACTGATAGAGTGATAGAATTTGGCTTCATCACCTTCTTAATCATCTAACATTTCTGAATGTAAAGAAGTGTCCAGCCTTTGTGTAGCTATTGTGGATAATATATTAAGTTAATAACCTGACTACAATTTATTATCTTTGTTTTCCTTTGAATTAATGTTAGAATTTTATTATTTGTGTTTTGTTTGTGATTTCAGGGTGGTGTTATTACTTCTGACATGATTGAAATGATATTTTCCAATAGCCCAGAGCAGCAGCTTTCAGCAACACAGAAATTCAGAAAACTGCTTTCAAAAGGTGAGTTCTGAATATGTTAGGTTATTTTTATATTTATTCACAAAATCTTACTTTGTCATAATCTATTTTCTGTACCTCTGATAACTTGCTTTGGAGTATGTCAACAAAATAAAGGGACACAGATCACCATATGTAATTTGAGTTACAACTGAGTTTTAATTTCCTAACTTTTTGTACAGTTGGATCACAACCAGAAAGGAGCATTATTTTGATTTCTGAGTTATCTTATAAAAGATCTTTAAATTGATAACTGTAGTTATTTCATGTTAATTTAAATGGAGAATCTGCACTGCTTTCGGAAAAATCTTTATATCTTGAAAGAGCAATAATTGTTTTTTAGTGTTAGCAGTTTATCACTGAAATTAAATACGGATTTATTGGTAGGTGAGTAGTTACCTGTTTTTTATAATTGGAACATGATACTTGTCATTCTCATCAAGTAAAACCTTATTAAATGTTGGTAAAAATACTGGACCTCTGAACCTTGTTAAAATGTTGGTAATAAATGCTGAAATCAACTGATCCCCTAGAAGTGAATTAGGGTTATTTGGAGTCACTAGTGATATTGATAGTGATGATAATATATCCTTTGAGGTTAGCTAGAATAAAAACCTATCACCATAACAAAAAAAAATAGTCATTTTTTGGTATGAAAACTTGTTAAATAGTTGAAGGCCATTTTTGTCCTCCTTACCTTTAGATTATGCATTTCAGTAATGTACTACAAGATAGCATTAGTGATATTTATGGCATAATGTTTCATTGTATATGCAGCAGTGTAAACTCCCAAGCATTTTTTTCTTTCATGAACTGACTGTAGATGATTGTTTAAGTCATGTGGGTTTTTTAAATTGCCTTAAAAAGTAATTCATTTGCTGAATTTTGCATTATAAACCTTTTTTATTAATAACTTTGGCTTACTGTTGTTCTTTTTGTATATTATTTTGTAATACAACAAATTAACTTTCATTTTTATTTTAATCATAAAATTTGTTGTCTTTATTTGAACTGTTGATAAAAATGTTCAGTCAGGTGGGCCATCCTGGTCATGCAGTGCGACTAGGTAAAACACAGCAAGCACTAAGAAGCTAAAGCCACTTCAGCATGAGTTTAATCCCCGACCCAGAGGTGATCCACATGGTATGGCAGATCCCTCCTGACCTGCCAGCTGCTCCCCTCAGCAGTGTATTTCATCAGTTTGCCTGTTCTACACCCCCACTCTGTCTCTGGTGAATCCGCTCAACATCCCTGCACCTCTGGTCTGTACCATAGTTCTATATGCTGTTAGAAATCTCCAAATTACTATTGAACCACTAGTCAGCTCTGTCATTAGGACCATTGACCTGGCTACGAATCCTTAGTAGTACTATAATCCAACTGTCATTTTTCTTGTATTGCTACATAAATGTTATCAAAACTTCATCATACCATTTGCTGAAAAGTCATGCTGATTATATAGGGTATTGTCTATTCATCTAATAAGTTTCTGTTGAATGACTTATTTTTGTCATAAAAAATGAGATAAAAAAATAAAAAAAAATGAGATTAGTGAATTGTTGCTGTTTCTTATCATTACAGCTATAAAATTAAGTCTTGCAAATACACTCAGAATTTCCTAATCCAGTTTTTTTTTTAAGATTTATTTATTTATGCATAAAGAACTGGGGTACAGGCCAGAGGTGCAAGGGCAGTGAGAGGATTCACCATAGATAGCGTGGGGAGCAGAACAGGCAGATCAGCGAAGTACACTGCTGAGGGGAGCAGTGGGAGGGTCAGGAGAGGTCTGCCACACCATGTGGTCACTTCCAGGGCGGGCTGGGATCCAACTCATGCTGAAATGACTTTAGCTTCTTAGTGCTGGGCTTTAACCTGCTGTGCCACCGGGGAGGGCCCCCCTAGGTTTTTTTTGAAAGATTTATTTTTTCATGCATATAAGAACGGGTACAGGCCAATGGTTCTGCAGAGGTGGGGTGGAGAAGGGTTGAGAGGATTCACCAGAGACAGAATGGGGAATAGAACCAGGTGGATTGACCAAAATACACTGCTGAGGGGAGAACTGGAGAATCAGAAAAGGTCTGCCATACCATGTTGTTCAGTTTCCTGGCTGGGAATTGAACTGGTATTGTAGCTGCTACAGGCAGCTTCACAGTGCTGCGCTTTAAGCCACTGTGCCACCAGAGAGGACCCCCCAACCCAGTTTTTAAAGACAATTTTCTTGGAAAAAAAAAAAAACAGACTGAAAAACTCATACAGAAAAGGAGTTACAGAAGTAAGTATACTGGAATATCAAGAATAGTGTTGTTTTTAGATATTTCTCCCTATTTTCTGAGTATTCTAAAATGATAGAAGCATCAACTTTAATCTTTAAGAATTCTACCTAAAATGACTTTGATGATGTGAATTTTATGGGGACTATACCTGAGAGGAGAAATCATATATTGAACAAAAAGGAACAATGTAAAATATATATATATATATATATATATGTTTGTATGTTTATTGATGTAAATATATATAAAAGAATTCTAGTTTCATTTCCATGTTAAGGCTCACATTATTGTGAAACCTTTCAACTGACCTCACTCCCAAAGTAACCAAATTCAATTTTAGTTTTCTTTGTAAATTTTCATTGCTTCTTGGTCTTTTGGTTAAGATCAAGTGTAGTATCTGTTCTTTTTACATTTGCAACACAAAAGAGATACTAAAGTGGAAGGAGGGATATTATAAAATATTTTAAACTATAAAGTCCTTGCATTGAAATCAAAGGATTGTTTTCTTTTATTTTTTGGGAGACAGAACCTAATCCTCCTATTGATGAAGTTATCAGCACACCAGGAGTAGTGGCCAGGTTTGTGGAGTTCCTGAAACGAAAAGAGAATTGTACATTGCAGGTGCGAACAATTTTCATTTCTTCCCTTGTATATGGATTCCCTTTACAAACATACATTTTGTACACAGATTTGTTGCTTAATATATATGAAGGTTTGATTTTTTTGATAACGTTATTCCTAACCACATTGTGAGCAGTTCTGAGAGCATTAATATATAGGTCCTTGACTTTACTCTTCAGAGTAGATTGCTATTTTTAGTCATGTAGATTATTATTTTTTGATGATTGTTGATAATACTTACCTAGTAGGGAATTATTTGTTGTAAAGTTTCCTCTGTGTGGACTACATAAAACTTGGTTTTATGGAATTTTTAGATTATTTACTAGCTTTCTCAGGGTGTGTAAATGGTTTAGATCAATCTACTCTGTGATTTCCAAACTTGGTCTTAATTAATCCTCTCTTCTAAAGCCAAAGAGCTGATAAGGAAATAGTCTTATCAGGAATCTATGCTGTGATAATTTAGTCAGTCAGTAAGTATTATATAGAGGGTCTAAGAAAAAATTCCTCAACTTATGGGTAGGATGATTAGGATAGCATTCTGGAAGTTATCCAGAAATTTAAAATTTTTTTTCCTGAATAAAGCTTCAGTGATTTTTTTAACTATCTAGATTTACTTGGACTAACTAACTGAATCAACTTACGTATTAGTCTTTAGCAGTTGTCTGTGATTATCCTTAAATTCTTAAAAGATCTGATCTTCAGGGCTCAGATCCTTTAGAGAGATTTTGCAAGTATAGAAATTTCTTAGGTGCCAAATAGTTTACAGAATGGGATTATCACTTCAGAGTAAATATTTACAACCACAAAGGTAAATTTTACCTCCTTGTTTGTTTTTGAGGAGTGTTTATGTAAATGATGTCCCCTGTCCCCAAATACCTTACTGTCCAAATTGATTTAAATAAATCTTAAGTCTTGATGCTTTGTCTTGATATTTTCTCTCCTTTCCTCCCAATCCATCTTTCTCTTCCTTTTACTGTCTTTGTTGCGGTGATGAGTTCCTTCCAGAGGAAAAACAAGAAATCCAGAAAAGGTAGAGTACTTCAATGTCCCATCAGTTTTTCTTCTCCAGTTTGATATTTACTAATCCCCAAGTTCATTTGAATTAAGGTTCTGTTTTGCTAGCTGTCTCCTGGATTGTAATTCTGGTTCCTATCTGAGGCCAGGATCATCGTACCTGAAAAACAATCAGGTTCACCTAGAGACCGAGGAAAGAGATACCTTTCTCAGAAAAAGGAAATCCAGACAACCAACACTGCAGAGAACAAAGCCTGAGCCCTAAGCAACCTGCCAAGAAAACTGGAGGGACCAAATGAAGAGCCTTACTGCAGTTTATATCATTTGAAAAGCTTTGTAGGAAGAGGGAGGTAGGGAAAATTAATTTGTCTATGTGGGAAAAAAATGTTTAACTTCTCTCTCACAATGAGAGTAATTCAGAGATACTAACTGTACTGCTGGATCTAGCATTTTTAATAAGTATTTGTGGAGGTCTAGTTCCTTAATATGCTCAAGATGACATAAGCCTCCCAGACATAAGCTGAAAAATCCAGAAAAGTGAGTCTTGAATTCCCATTCTCCACTACAATATATTTTCTCAAACAGTGCCCTCTCCTGATTAACATATGTAATTTCTATGTGAATTTTTATAATATATTCTTAGAATTTATTAACACACTTCAAGGTAAAAGCCTTCAGAAAACTGATTTGCTTCTGTCTAAATTCTCAGATTCCACTCTTTGTGCAGAGTAATTTGTTAAACATTGAGAAATGATTCCTCTGGAAGTGACCACCTCATGTTTTTTATCTTAGCTATCCAAAGACTGACACATGACCAACTTGTTCATTATCTAAAGGTCGTCATCTCTAACTTTTTCTCTATACATTAAGCACAATATGGTGTTCTTTTTCCAGTGTGATTCAAGGACCTTGACCACCCAGAAGTAGCAGGTCGATGTTAGAGGCAGGAGGTTTCATGTTCATATTATTAGATGTGCTCTTTCTTCTTGGAGAGCACTGATCTGTAAGTTGTCCCTGCTGCTCCTACCTGCTAACTGGAAATGTAAATATTGTTTGGAATAGAACTTTTACTATTTCTCTTCCAGAACAAGAGTCATAATACATGGTGGTAATAGCTAAACTCATTAATAAACCTGTGTACAATAATCCCTTCACTCTGTAGGTTAAGATTAAGAGAACCTAGTGTAGGTTATTTTTTACATCCTTTCTGGGCTTATCTTATTCCCAAATCAGTATCTTTCTCAAACCAGAGAGAGAAAAATACCTGCTTTAGGCAGTGCTGCCCAGGTACACGCTTGCTGTCAAATGATAATGAAAGTGGGTGGAATCTAGGATTTTGGAAGCAAACAGTGCCATTAAGCTTAAGCATATTCTCAAATTCAGAGGTAGGATGGTCTCAGACATATTCAGACCATTGACATGAGATTGGTTTGCCATATATATTTCCTGGGACTGCATTTGTGGTTATTACTATTATTTTTTTTTTTGAGTGTAGGCTTGCCATCTTTTTACTGCTGTGTAATCTTTTGCAGTTCTGAGATGTTATGTTTCCAAATCTGTGGAACCTTTTAACTAGAAATAAGTATATTGCCTCTTAGTTCCAGTCTTTAGACAGGTATACCCTCTTAAAATTGCAAATTCGAATTAAAGTGATTTATCTACCACGTTCTTGCCTTTTTTGTCCCCTCTAAAAGCTTAATGTGATAAACTGCAGTAAGCCTTCATCCTCCTACAGCTTTCCCATCCTCACTGATCCCTCTACCTTTCTTTGAAAGGTTGCTCAGATGATTCAGGCACTGTTCTCTGCAGGGTTTGATAATCTGGGTTTATTTTTCTGATGTGAGCCTCTCTTTTCACTTGCTCTCCAGGTGGGCCTGGCATTTGCTAGGAACCAGAGTGGAACCGGCAAAGTGGCCAGCAACAGAGTCCTGATCCAAATGGAGAAAGGGAACCAGGCGTACCTCAACCTGGAGTGGGAAACTTGATAGGAGGTCAGAAGTACTTCAGCTTTGGATTCTCATTTTCCTTATTTAAGGAACTGAGCACCAGAAGGTAGAGATTGAGAAAGGGTAGAGAGAAAATAACAAATCTTTAGTCTGCCCTTCAGATTTCAGTTGAAGCCTTGTAGTAAGTTGTGAGCAGTGAAAATTAATAGTGAAGTTACAGTTCAGAAGCAATCACAGCAAGATGACAGGTTATTTTCCTTGCATGGTGTCATCTGGGAACATTAAGAATATCATAGTTTAAAACATCAAAGGAGAAGTAAAGATTATATCTATTTTGGCTTTCATTACTTCAGATAAGAGACTTTCTTAGCTTTCTTTTTTCATTCTTCTGATTTTCATACTTATTTTTTTCCTGAGTTTACTTACTACAATACTTTTCTTCCCATTTCTGTCATAATTTTATGTAATTTTTTAATTTTGGACTTTCCCATTTCACAGCTCTCATGTTAAGTTCTAATCCAAGACCCACAACCAAAACATTAAAAGCAAAAATCAGCAAAAAAAAAAAAAGACCAGAGAAAGGAAGGTTACATAGTTCACAGAACTACCACTTTTTTTTTTTTTTTTTAAATGCTATTCACATTGGAAAGCATCTTATTCCAACACTTTAACAGGGACCTATACTTCTACGGGGTAATTTCCTTTCTTACTACCTATCCTGTCTCATGTTACATGCACCACACACTCACCCATATCTATCCACACAACACACACACACCTGTATCTCCTAGCTACACATGAGTATAGTAAGTTGCACAAATATAACTGGGTGAGTTTTTATAAGATAAACATCATAGTGAGCAGCAACCTGTGTGTGTGTATGTTTTAATACTTTGTTGATGCATGAATATCATTGAGTTTTCAGTGGTCCTTTGGTTTTCATCTCCTTATCACAATAATGTGAACACAATTTTTTGGTTTCCATCCTTCTAAGAGATCTTGAGAATCTTTTCTGCTCTCAGAGGTAGTCTTGTGTGCTTAATAATAAACATAACTGTGTGATACATCATCCTTTTGCTGAGATATCCTAATTTCTGGTTTTCTACTGTGTTCAGGCTATTTGTCACTTAATCTGATTTTCCTAGTCATTCTCACTCTTTTTATGTTTTGCTTCTGTGTTTTATTCATTTCATTAACATCTGGAGTTAACCACATTTCCTCTGAGGTCTTTGGTGCAAGTCATCAAATAAATAGCAGTTTGAACTATGGCATCAGTTAGTATCCTGATTTCTTCTCAGTGATAACTAATTTATATGTCCTTTGTTTACTCAGATGTTTTTTGCATCAACATCTCACTGTATTCATTTTTTAAAATTCTTTATAGATTGTTTTTCCACCGAGTTTTCATTTCTGTGACTAGGTCCTTGCAGTGTCTGATTAACACTTTCGAGTTTGCCTTTTGGTTGGAAAAATTTGCTTTTGTATTCATATCTTGGATTCTGCTTCACTGATTAATTTTCCTGACATGAGAGACTATTTGAGGTGATTTGTTTTCTTTTTAGCATCCACTAAAATAAACTGGCATTTTTTTTTTTTTAAAGTTTCTTGCTCTGGATGCAAGTAATTGAAAGATTCTTGTTCATGTTACAGGTGTGCTCTGAGAAAACTGATTGGACTTCATAAATCAGTTAGATTAGATAGAAGAGTGTTATCTTGTCCCTTTGAGTAGCTATGTAACATTACTCAAATTTATTAGCCAAATTATTGAATCTTACTCTGATAGTTTCCTTATTCATGAAATAAGGTAGACTATTTTGGATTGATTTGAGGATCACCTGTGAGTATAAATTAGTACTGCTTTGAAAATACAAACAAATGTAAAGTTGCAATTCAGACAGATGTGGAAAGGGTTGAGTGTTGGCTTCATTAGTGATTTAACATATTAGAGGTGGTAAGAATTTTTATTTATGATATACCATCGTACAGAAATTAATCCTGACAGAGTTATTGTACAATAAGTATGTTTTGTTTAGCTCATCTGCTCCTATTCTGAGCTGCTCTGCTACTGCAGACCACTGTATCTCACTCATGTATGTCACATTTGTAAGTTTCTTTGAATATCATTTTCTGCTCTGAATTTTCTATTGATCATATAGCTTTAGATTATACTAATCAGATTGTTATCCTGTTTCTTCTATCTTCCCCTACTCCCATTGATTGATGATTTCATTTCTGTATGACAGTTGACTTTCAAGAGACCCAAAAGCTTTAAAGAAATACAGCTATATCTTTTGATTATGTTCTGTTGATCTTTCATTAAAGATAATACTAGTGAATTTTTTTCTACCTGTGTGCTACATTACAAACAGAATATAAGAAGGAAAAAGAAAACTTAATGTTTACTTAAGCTCTTGGTAAAACTATAAAAGTTTATTCTTGGATTTTTCCGTATGCTCAAGAGTCAATCTTGAGTCTTTTTTTTTTTTTAAAGATTTATTTATTCGTACAGAATTGGGGTACAGGCCAGATATGAGGAGGGTGAGAGGATTCACCAGAGATAGAGTGGGGAGCAGAACAGGCAGATTGATGGAAGTACACTGCTGAGGGGAGCAGCATGCGGTCACGAGAGGTCTGCCGCGCCATGTGGATCTCCTCTGGGGCAGGTGGGGATCGAACTCATGCGGAAGGGGCTTAAGCTTCTTAGGGCTGTGCTTTAACCTGCTGCACCACCATGGAGGGCCGAGTCTTTTTTTTTTAAAGATTTATTTATTCGTACAGAATTGGGGTACAGGCCAGAGATGAGGAAGGTGAGAGGATTCACCAGAGATAAGAGTGGGGAGCAGAACAGGCAGATCAACAAAGTACACTGCTGAGGGGAGTAGCAGGCGGGTCAAGAGAGGTCTCCTGCGCCATGTGGATCTCCTCCAGGGCATGCGGGGATTGAACTCATGCTGAAGTAGCTTTAGCTTCTTTGTGCTATGCTTTAACCCACTGCGCCACCAGGGAGGGCCCCAATCTTGAGTCTTAATAGAGATAGATTAGAATATGTTGTGTTTTTTGTTAATGATAATTTCCTTCATGCCTTGTGTTTACCAGTTATCAGTCTTTAAGATGTTCTTTTAACAAGGTCTGAACCTCAGAGCTTGTTTGGAGCTTTCTCATTTATTAGAAGTTCTGAAGCTATGAAGTTGTTTCTATTAGCCTATTAATTCCCTTTTGTTGTGCTTTGTATTTAAAGTAGTTTTTCCCTTTTCCACTCTCCCTCTGTTATATGCAGTGTACACTAACATCCTCTTCTCATTTCACTTTGCATACCCTATATTTAATTTTACTTTTTATTATATATATGGTTTAAGGCCAAAAGTTACATTTTACTTACAATGAGAAGTATGTTTTTTCCTCATTACTCCCCTTGCACCCTTATCATTCCATATATTAACAAGTATTTACAGTAGCTCCTGACTCCTTCCAGAGATAATTCTGTGCAGTGTGTGTATTAATGCATATATTCCTTCTTAACCCTTTTAGAAAATACCATATTAATATACACTGTTTAACATATAAAAAATTCATTTCTTGGGAGAGCATTTCATATCAGCATATGAAGTACTCCCTTATTGTTTCTATGACCTTCTGTCAGTTCTACCTTGATCCGGAATTTTAGACACCCTGAGATAGTCTTCTAAACTGAGGAATTTCTCCCGAGAATTCTTTTAAGGTTAATATTCTTCTACTAGATTATGTGCAAGTAAAGCTCTCAAACATTCATGTATACATAATTGTTAGTAAATAGCTATTAAATTCTGGTAAGATAATGAAATTATTTTTATCTTTATAGTTTGAATCAGCTTGGGTACTGACAAATATTGCTTCAGGAAATTCTCTTCAAACCCGGATTGTGATTCAGGCAGGAGCTGTGCCTATCTTCATAGAGTTGCTTAGCTCAGAGTTTGAAGATGTCCAGGAGCAGGTAAAAAAAATCAAACAGAGAAACTTGAAAGAGCAGTTTTTCCCTTTGATCTTATATTCAAGGCCTAAGTTTTACTACTTCACATTGCAATCTGCGGTTCATCATAGGGGGAGTGTTCCTAGAAATCTAAAATTAACAAAAATAGAAAATTTCATTCTTACTGTAAGGCATAATTTCTCCTAAAAGCATAAAACCATTTTTTTCCCTTCCATCTCTGAAATTTTTAAAGCACTAAGATGAACTTTTTAGGCTAAGTAAGTAGTTACTGAACTTTTTCTAGTAGTAATTCTAATGTTGACTGATGCAGCAGCTTATTGCTGCAGACTTTATTAAATCTGTTTGATTTAGAGCATAATTGTGTTTTTATGAAATGTACGATTTGATAAATTTTGACATGTGTATAGTTGTCAGACCATCATAGTCAAGGTGATTACCATACTTATCACTGCCAAAAATTAAAAAAATTTTCTGCATTTTGAATGCTCCTAAATTCTTTGCTCTTTTATAAATTTTAATCAGTGGAGAAAACCATTTAAACCTGTGCTCTGTTCTAAGGGCAGTGCTACTAGGGGTAATTTCCCTATGATAAACATATATAAAAAATGTTTCCTCCTTTAAATAACTTACTACCATCAATGTTCACATATACACTTCATAATATTACAGATCACCTTCTGTCAGTCCCACAATCATTTCATTTGCCTTTCTAAAAATGGGTGCACTTAAGAATGTTAGTAAGGGCCATATATTTTGGCATAATATTTTGATTAACTGTAATTTCATGAAGAATTGTAATATGTTGGCATTGTGGGGGAGAATTGTGAGAAAATCAAGTTGTATAATCTGTCATTAATAATTCTTTCACAGGCAGTCTGGGCTCTTGGCAACATTGCTGGAGATAGTACCATGTGCAGGGACTATGTCTTAGACTGCAATATTCTTCCCCCTCTTTTGCAGTAAGTTTCTTTTCTTTCTTTCTTTAATAATAAAAATATGGGACATTCTTAGAAGGCATAGCACTTTTGGAAGTCATCTGGATTTCCTCGGTTACTTTTTGTGATGATAATTCCCTTAACTTATCAGATCATTTCTTCAGGCTTCCTGCTTTATTATTGTGCCAAAATTCTGAGTTACTTATATTAGAATAAATTAAACTTTATTTTAAAGTAAAGCTATTTGAAGATACCTTTATCAGTACCATTAAATGGTTGAGCATCCCACTATCAAAAATGAATGTTTATATAGTTAACCATTGTTTCATCATTCCTCATGCTTATAGGTTATTTTCAAAGCAAAATCGCTTAACTATGACCAGGAATGCAGTATGGGCTCTGTCTAATCTCTGTAGAGGAAAAAGCCCACCTCCAGAATTTGCAAAGGTAAGGAAGGATTGCACTTGTGGAATATTGGCTGAAGAAATACAATTTAAAAGAATGCAGAAACCAATATTAATATGAAGAGAAAGAGTTTTAAACAAAATGATAAATTTTAAATGTTAGAATTAACTATTAGTAGAAATATAGGAGTTTTTGTTATTTTTGTTCTAATGTATGATAAGTTATTTCTACCTATAAAGCTATGAATTGATCTGAGAACTACCATATTCAGAACAAAATACCTCAAGTACAGAATTTCCTAGCTTTAGCAAACCTTAAAGAGTGGTCCATAAAGAGTGTTTTGCTAAAGAATCTCATCTGAGAATGATACATATTAAACCTCACTTTCCGAAATTATTTTTCTTGGCCTCTGACTACCACATCAGAGTAAACTGCCAGGCCACTGGCAGTATTCTCAGAGATGGAAATGCACTTGGGCACTCGCTTTTTCTAGAAATACTATCACCCCAGAAGCCATCAAGTATGTGCCCATCTGTTACTTTCTAATTTCACTTTTGGCTACTACTCTATTGAATTATGTATCATTTTCCTTCACAGGTTTCCCCTTGTCTAAATGCGCTTTCCTGGTTGCTGTTTGTCAATGACACTGATGTACTGGCGGATGCTTGCTGGGCACTCTCATATCTATCAGATGGACCCAATGATAAAATTCAAGCAGTCATTGATGCTGGAGTGTGTAGGAGACTTGTGGAGTTGCTAATGTAAGATATCTTTGAGAAAAAGTATCTGCTCTTTGTCCATATTTTAGTTTTCTAGTGCTGATTCTCAAATATTAATATGTTAAAGTACTTTTTTGTGCTTTTGCTGCTTTTGTTACTTATTTATATATTGATATAATGTCTTGTTTTGAGGCTTATAAACAAACTTTCACTCTTCTGCTAGTCCTTTATCAGAAACATTTGAAAAACTGATCTTTGTGTTTAATGATGAGACCAACCAGCAGATAGTAAAAGACATCATGCTTAAAATAGGCATTCTTTGTCATTCTGTGTCATTGAGAATTTAATCTAGGTTGGTGTCAGACTTTAAATCTAATTTGCTTTATATTTTGTGATGCATTTGATTATGGAGTGGAAGATTTGCTGATGGCATACTTAAGGTAAAGGCTGTATTTGTATTAGTCAAATTTATTAAACAGTACTATAGAAGAAAAAAATTAGATTGGTGACATACTGGAAAAATGCTGCAACTTTAAGCCAAGTGAAATTTAACTGAAATACAGAGTAGATGCAAGGAGACATTGCCCCATATATAACATGTGAAACTACTAGATAAGTAAAACAAATATAAAACTCATGTAAAGGAACTAGCACCATTTTGAGGAGAGTGATCTGTTATATTTAAGGGGAACACAAACAAGTTTCTTTACGGAAAGTTAAGGAATACTAGCTTATTTAAGCTGAAATTAAGATACGGTGTCTGTCTTCAGATGTAAAAAGAGTTTTGTGGAGAAGGGTTTTTTCCTACAAAAACTCTTTGTAGAAGGGGGTTTTTTGGGGGGTGGGGTTGGAAATAAGCAAGCTGAGGTTTAGTAAAAAGAATTCACTATTTAAAGTGTAAATAAACCTGGGCCCTCCCTGGTGTCACAACGGGCTTGGATGCAGCAGCACTGCAAGCTCACCGCAGCTGCTTCAGTACAAGTTCTATCCCTGGCCCAGGAGGTGACCCCACATGGTGTGGGAGACCACCTGTCTCGCCCGCTGTTCCCCTCAGCAGTATATTTCATCAGTCTGCCTGTTCTGCTCCCCACTCTCTCTGGTGAATCTTCTTACTGCCCCGGCACCTCTGGCCTGCACCCAGTTCTGTATGTCTAAATAAACAAATCTTTTAAAATATATATTAAAAAAATAAAATGTGAACCTGTTAATTTAAGGTTAGTTCATCCGTTAACATATTTTCATCTCTGAAAATTATTACAGGTTATAGACCTTAAAAGTGCTGTATACATATAAACTGTTCTCTGTATGATCTCAGAAACCATAGAGAGGCAAAGATGAGAAGAAACTTACATTAAAGAATGAAAGCAAAATCCCGAAATCCAGGTGATAGAATTTTTGGGAAATATGATTAGGAAAGCTTTATAGTTTTTACTCAAAAATAGTAAATAAAGGGAAAGACAACTCTTCTAGATGATTATCGCGTACCCTTAGTAACCACCTGTGAACCTTTCTGCTCTAAAATCTTATCATATACTATTTCATGTATATTTCAGCTCTAAGGAAGACCTATTATGGCTAAACTGTTGGAAATAACATTTCTTTCTTTGGTTACAGGCATAATGACTATAAAGTAGTGTCTCCTGCTTTACGGGCTGTGGGAAACATTGTCACAGGGGATGATATTCAGACACAGGTATGAACAAGTGGTGACTATGATTTTCTTTCCAAAACACTGGATTCCATGATTATGTTTCTGTTATAGTATTTAACTCATTATTGGGGAGAATTGCCACTGTTTCATTAATATTTGTTTAAAATATTGACATCTTTCTTGACCAGTTACTTGTAGCAGTTTTGAGTTTCTTATCCTGTGGTATCTTATCCATTTAGTCAGTCAGGTTTATTCCCTACTACTGTTTGAAATGGTTCTTCTAATAAGCATTAGACAGCCTACTTTCTCTTAGCCTTTGTCATTTTCATCTCATCATCTCTGATAGCTTCCTCCATTTTGTATGGTAAGTCTCCCATATAAGGAAAGTCTGTACTTCCTCCTTCCTAATATCTTCCCCTTTTTCACTCTATAGCTTTGTAAAGTTAAATCACTCACCTTAGAATGTTCCTGTTCTTTTAATTATTATTTTTTAGATGGAGTAACAGCCCTTTTAAATTATCTAACTAGACTTCTGTGACTGGGTCTCCAGCCTTACTGTTTACTTCTCCTTTGCAAACTCCTTTTCTTCTTCCTGTTATGGGTTTCCTCCAGGAGGAAATCTTTCAGCCTCACTCACTTATTTATAACTTCAACTGTCAACTTTTTAAATGAGGATTGAGAATTAGATTTTAGCCTTAACTCTTTCTTATCCTAGCAAGATTTTTACTGCCTTCACATTTTTAATTTCTAACTTAAGGTGATTGGGTTTATTCTGGATTGTCTTCCAACTGTTAATAATTACTTTAAATTTATTCTGACTTTAAAGAAACACATTTTCCTTTGTCTATCTAGACCTCTGATTATTTATGTTTCCTATCTAGTGAGTAGTACCAGCAGTTGTGCAAGCCAAAAATCTGGAAATTGAGTCTTTCTTCTCTACCTCTGGTCACCACTATGTCCTGTTCTCTATTCCTACCTTACAGGGCTGAGTTCAGACAGTTCTCACATCATTATCACATCACCAAGAGAATGCTTATAAAATGCAGGTTTGATCTTGTCATTCAACTTGATCTTGTCATTCTTCAACTTAGTCTTTTTAAGATCTTTAAGGTGGACACATTGTATAAGAAATATATGAGGTGAAATTTACTGTGTAAGAAATATATGAGGTGAACAGGGTGAAGAAGCTCCTGCATATGCACTGGCATGCAAAGTTGCCTAGGTTGTATTGTATAGAAAGAAAAAAAAAAAAGGAAAAATATATTACCATTTGTATCAAAGGGGAAGCAGCTAGAACAGGGAAAGAAAGCAGTATGTTAAAAAGAAAACAATGTTTTTGCATAAAATTTCTCCGAGGGAATACACGGGAAGCTAATAACATTGGTTGTGAAACTAAAATAACATTGGTTGTCTTTGTAGAATCGTGGCTGGGGTATATTTGGAACGGAAGCTTTTAACTTACTTTTATAACTCTTTGTACTTTCTGACTTTTTAAGACAAATCATTGTATTGTACTACTCAAAAAAGTTTCCCTTTCTCTTCACAGCATGCTCTGTGCTCTTGTCATGCTTATTCCTTGAATTAACTGACCACACTCAATTCTGAAATTCTAACATGTACTCTTTCTTCTCTCTGATGAACATAGCCCTCCATGCCCTCATCCCTGTTCTGACCACTACCCTCTGCCACTATCTTTTTATTCTTCACGTCTTAGTATTAACATTATTTTTGGTTTCCTCCTTTCTTTCATCCATCATAGTATACTTGTCACACTGTTGTAACTGTTCAGATTGTAAATTTCTCGAGGGATAATCTAGTTCCTGGCACATGTACAGAAATGAATGAAATTAGCAATCTACATAGGTAGTTCTGACCTCTCAAATTCTAACCCCACATCTCAGTAGCTTGTAAATATTTTTGACTGTCACATTTATCTCTCTTACAGTTTGTCTTCTTCCAAAATAAATAAAGTTCTAAGCCTTGATTTCTTAGATCTGTAATTAATGATACAAGTATTCATCACGCTTAAAACCTTAGTTGGTGTCTCTCTCAGACTTGTTGATTCTTTTGTTACTATATCCACATTTAATTATTTGGTCCATCTTTTCTCACATAGAAGGGCTGTTGATGTAACCATGTGATCTATCTTCCTATTTTCCTAAGCATTTATCTCCCAATTTATTTTCCCTAACAACACCTTAATCTTTCCTAAAAATAACACTTTTTACCTTATTTCCCTCTTAGAAGCAAGGAGTTCTTTTATACCTATGAGATAAAGACTTTTGAAAAACTAAGGAATTTGTACTTCAAGATTTTAGTCTCATTCTTCTTTCTAGCCTACTCTTTTAATTTTGGGGTATAGACCCCTTCCTTAACAATAGCATTACTAGTTTAGTCTTATTTTGGTACCTTCCTCTGCTTCTGAAATCTTTGTTTCAAGGTGTCTCCTTACCTTCGGCCTTATGAACTCTTTCCTGATCCACAATATTAATTTCTCACTTTCCCCCTTCCCCATACATTGTCTTTGGCACTTAAAAAAGTACTTTGCACCATGTTTTATACTGTTACTTAGAAATACTGTATCTGTTTCCATGGAAGTTTTATAGTCTTTTGAACTACATTAACAGGCAAAAAGGGGCTTTGTTTTATGCATTCTTTAATTACTTTTCAGGTAATTACTATTAAAATTTTAGTCTCAGCAATTTTTATGTTAAAGGTGGCAAACTGGTCTCTCAAATATTTTCTCATTGTGTGAAGTGCATTTTAATCTTTCTGTTTTTTTAGCATGCAAAAATTATTGCTTGGGAAAATTTTTTATTTTCTAAGTTTCTTTCATTGTTTTTATACCTGGAAAGTCTTTCACTATACTCAGACTAGCTATACTTATGGCTGTTTTCCTTTGTTGTGTGGTTGCTTCTTAATATTTACTCTTTATAGGCTGCAAATATATTTTGGTGCTGGAAACTAGGAGTTGATTTTAAGAAATAATTACCAACTAATTAACCCATTATTGTAATATAATGTATTAACTAAAACAACCAGATACTAGAGGAACTAAGTTTGTTTTTTATGATATGCTTAATTCTTTATAATGCCTGCAACTATTTCTGGACTAGGTGTTTATCTGTTGTTCAGGAATTAATTCTTGAGCCCACTATGTATTAGTTGAAGCATTATACCTTTATTATTTTAGTTTCTTGTATGATCTTCTTGTATATTATCTTTTCTCCCCTATTTTGTAATCTGTTGATACCTGGGAACCCATTTTATCTTTGTATCCTATAAAGTATCTGATACACTTCTTTAAGTATGTGTTTTGTTTTTTTTTTTTCACTGCTAGGTAGAGAGTTAAATGAGGATTTAAAAATCTTGAGGCTACTTCTAAATTGGTCACTGGCCACTTGTTATATTTTCCCAATCAGAAGACATTTAAATACAGTATAGAGATAGAAAAGTAAATAGTTCATATTTTTTGTGTTTACTTAGTACATTTTTAGCAGTTGTGAATGTAGGTCATTACACTTTGGTAATCTTCGATACTGATATCTTATTGGTGGTCTCGCAGTGAATACGTATTACTGTATAAAATTCTAAAATTTGAAGAGTAGACATTGCTTCTTTGCTCAGTTTTTCCTAAAATAAAGTCTTTAAGATTTACTTACATTAGGATATATTGGATTATTACAGTAAGTAAAAATTTCAAATTTTTCCTTTTAGGTAATTTTAAATTGCTCAGCTCTACAGAGTTTGTTGCATTTGCTGAGTAGCCCAAAGGAGTCTATCAAAAAGGAAGCGTGTTGGACAATATCTAATATCACAGCTGGAAATAGAGCCCAGATCCAGGTAATCACATAGCACCTTTTTTCCTGTATTTTTGATAACTGAAAAATCCATATATTCATACATATTATTGTTTTCTTACAGAGTTTGTTTAGTTGTCTTCTTCATATTTTTACCCTAATGGAAAATGAGTCTTATAAACTGAACATACGGGGCTTTTCGTTCCCCTTTAATACTTGGTGATTTGTCGGAAACTGAGAACTGTGTTTCTAAAATGCTTATTTTTCTAGTGGTACGATATAATAGATTGCTTCAGTTTTTCATGAAATTTGGAAAAATGGGTCCCCTTTACTTTTTTCCTTATATCAGCAGGAGAATAATTCAAGTGGAAGACAAACAGTTGGACAAATGGCTTACCACAGGCCATAAGAAACAACTGAAGCAAGTTTGAAAAAAATATAACACAGACTTAAGAGACTTCAGAATGAGTGGAATCATTATCAAATAATGCCCTTGACCTACTCCACCCATCCACTTTTACCTTACCTTTGGTTGCCAGGATACTTTTCTCAGAGTTCAGATTTACTTTGCTAGTTCATACAGCTTAGTTTACTTAACATGATTTAGTTTGCTTTACTAATAGTCCACATATGAGTGAAACCAGCCAATAGTATTCGTACTTTCTGACTTATTTTTCTTAACACAGTCACCTCATGTTATTTATAGTATGCATCAGAGATGATTCCAACTGTAGTAGATTTTCTGCTACTCCCAGACTCTTTAAGTGGAACTTCTCAGTTTCTTGACATAGGAAATACAAATACATTTTAGTTCAGTTGTAATTATTGTGGATGGGTGAAGAGAGAACAATAAAAGAACTTAGAGAAAGTTAGATTACAAGACTTTAGGGGGTGGTTTGGGAGTGTAATCAGTGATAAATAACTCAAAAGCTTAGGGATATTGTGAGGATTAACTTCAATTTTTTTTTTTTTTTAAAGATTTATTTATTTTTGCATACAGAACTGGGATACAGGCCCGAGACTCAGGGGCAGTGAGAGGCTTCACCAGAGACAGAGTGGGGATCAGAACAGGCAGATCGATGAAGTACACTGCTGAGGGGAGCAGCGGGTGGGTCAGGAGAGGTCTGCCACACCATGTAGTCACCTCTGGGGCAGGCGGGAATCGAACTCATGAGGAAGCGGCTTTAGATTCTCAGTGCTGTGCTTTAACCTGCTGCGCCACCAGGGAGGGCCCTTAACTTCAATTTTTAATGGGAAGGGATGTCATTAGTGAAGCTCACTGAAAAGTTAAGAATATTGTCAACATTTCTGTAAGTCTTGTAATTTTTTTTTAATTTCAGACTGTGATAGATGCCAACATTTTTCCAGCCCTCATTAGTATATTACAAACTGCTGAGTTTCGAACAAGGAAAGAAGCAGCTTGGGCCATCACAAATGCAACTTCTGGAGGATCAGCTGAACAGATCAAGTAAGGACTAGCCAGATAATATCTTGTGTGTCCCAGTTTAGAATACTCAATTCTAACCTTTTGGAAGATTCTCAGTTTCATTATTAGATATATTCAGTTCCTAACCCTTCTCCCATTTGCTCTGACTGAAAACAGTTTTTCCATGTGAGAAGACAGGCATATGGTGCTTAAGGCCATACATATATTTATAGGCCTCACTTCAAGTCTACTGTGAATCTCTTTGGTCAGAAACATCTTGGGTACTATAGAAGCTTATCTGTAGAGGGTTCAACTTCAGTAGCTGACTTGCTGTTTCTAGATGAGATGTATTAAGTAGAATTGAACCGATCTTGGAAGAGAGTACAGCTTACATTCTCGTGTTCAGTATTTACTGTGGTATTTATTCCAGGGGGAGATTTGTATTAGTTGGAGTCTTAAATGACCCCCTTAGGTAACAGCTTATATTCTCAATGTCTTGAAAGCATAAAAGAAACATCATATATAAATTAATGCTAAATTATAGACAACTAGTAATTTAGATAGAAAAAAAGTAATGGTGAAGAGAAAACAGGAACATAGGCTCTTAGCCTGTCTAATCTTTCTTTATGGAGAATATAGACAAAGGCAAGATGATTTCAAATGAGTATTATAACGTTACTTCATAATATTGAGGAAACAACTACTTCTTGTATTGTTGCTTTGTATATCAACAAAGACCCTCAGCCAGTGCTAAATTTTAGTGCTCTGTTGGGAAATAAAACATGAAAATGTATGGCCCTTGTGTTTCAGAAATTGATCATGTATAAGCAGAAAAGAAGGATTTTCCTGAATGGAATGATAAAATTATAACTAAACACATGCAATGGGTCCTCCTTTAACAGAAGGACTTCAAGTGGTCTTTAGAAAGAATGTTTGTCTTTTTCAACCTTTCTCTGGTACTGGACTACCGTTCTAAGTATATCATCATCAGATGGCAGTAATGGAAAATAATATAGAACTTTTTTGATGACAGTCAATTACTATTTTCAGATTCATATTTGTATTTATTGTCTCTACATTTTATATGTAGTTTTTTTCTTAATTGAAAAGGTTAAATTATATATGTGTGCGTTTTTATTATCTCTCAAATTCAGAGGTGTCATTTATACAGAAAGTGTTAAGATGTATTTTGCTTGGATAGAAGAGTGGCTACTTTCCCTCTTTAAAGCTAGCAGTGATTTATAATTCATTCTTAACTAGACAAAGCTCTCTTGATTATTATAAAAATATTACAATCTAAATTATAGAAAACAAACTAAGTTTCACTGATAAAGTATGTTTGTAGCTTCTGCTCATTCTTGTTTATGGAATTTAGAATCAATTTGAATAACTTAGGAAATACATATAATTCGAGGGAATGGACACAGGAAGTGTTCTTGGAAGAGGCAGTTCATTCTTGGTTTAGGTATTTTGCAAGGAAAAGGAATTAAGTAATTGAAGAACTTAGAAAGTTAAAATGAAGGCCTTGGTCATTATTGGGAAGAGTTGGAGTCTACTTGAAAATGATGTGAAAGGAGATTGTTTTGAGAAGAGGAAAGATAGTTAAGATGTCATTGCAGTAATTATATAGTGATGGTGATGATTAAGATAATTACTGTAGGTAGAATGTAGTACATGGGAAAGAAGGATCTAACTGAGCGGCAGGCTACCTGGTACCAAAGGAAAGAGAGATGACTGGAACAGTGGAGGTGCTATTGGTAAAAATTGAGATACAGAGGAAGCAAAGTCCTATCAGAGGGAGATGGTTTTAGACAGTGAATGTGTTACTCATCTGAAGAATCTTATCAATTCAATCTCTCAAAATTTACTTCCTCCATTCTAAAACATCTGAATTTCTTTCCTATAAATTTCTCCTTTATAAAGGAACTTCTGAGAATAAAATTACTAATTTTAACAGTTCAGTTGGGCTTGAGACACTTATAATTTGAGAAATATAATTCACTTTTCCAGATAATATATACTTTCTTACTCAGCAAATTTTATTCGTAAACATTTCTGCCACAAAAGCCAACTAAATTGATCTGTTATCACTTTATCCAAATACCCAGGCTTTTAACAAAAATTGTTTTAAAAAGTAGTCCATCTTGAGGACTCCCTGGCGGCACAAGGGGTTAAAGCGCAGCACTATGAAGCATTCCGAAGCCACTGCAACATGACCCACATAGCGCAGCAGACCTCTCCTGTCTTGCCAGATGCTACCCTCAGCAGTGTATTTCAGCCAGTCTGCCTGTTCTGCTCCTTCTTCTGTCTCTAGTAATCCCTCTCATGCCCCTGCGGCCTATACTCTAGTTCTTATATGCATAAACAAATACATCTTTACAAAACAGAATTAGTCAATCTTATAGTTGTAGTTGATCATTTCAAACAGTCATCCATAAGTTCTAGAAGCTCTTTAGCCACGTGAGAATTGTTTTTTAATCTTTCATCAAGTTTCATTAAACTGATTTTTGTAATATATGGTTATTCAGCTGCACTAAATGTCAAGAAATATTTATGTAAAGTTAAGAATAATACTACTAAATTCATTAGTGAGTAACAGTACTAAGCCTGACATACTACTTTTAAAACTATTTTTAGGTTTATAGAAAATTGAGACAGTACAGGGTTCCTATATACTTCCCTCCTCAGTAGATTCCTCATTATTAATAGCTTATATTACTGTGGCTACATTTTTACAGTTAATGAACCAATAGTGATACATTTGAAGTTCAGTTTTTTTGTTTTAAAAATGTATTTATTCATGCATACAGAACTGGGGTACAGGCCAGAGGTGCAGGGGCAGTGAGAGGATTCACCAGACAGAGTGTGGAGCAGAAAAGGCTGACTGACGAAGTACACTGCTGAGGGGAGCAGTGGGCGGGTCAGAAGAGGTCTGCCGTGCCATGTGGGTCACCTCTGGGGCTGGTGGTTGAACTCATGTGGAAATGGCTTTAGCTTCTTAGTGCTGTGCTTAACCCGCTGTGCCACTAGAGAGGGCTCTCAGTTTTTTTGTCAAGGATTATTCTTTGCAATGTAGAATTCTGTAAGTTTTGATGACATTTTTCCTGCTTTTGTAGTATCGAGAATAGTTCCTTGTATTTCATTTGTTTTTCACTACTCCCTTCTACGAACCTCAAGTCTCTTGTGACCACTTTTATTTTTGCTATCTGTTAAACTTTTGCCTTTTCCAGGCTATGTATTTTGCTTTTTTATACTAACAGCTTTCACTGAACATTATGGATTTAAGTTATTTCATGTCTTTTCATGATGGCCTGGCAGTTCATTTCATAGTAATTCCATTGGATAGATGTAGTATGGTTTATTATACACCTTTTGAATTACCTAGTTGCTACTAGTTTTGGCAGTTATAAATAACACTGAAGTAAATATCCAGGTACAGATTTTGTGTGTGAACATAAGTTCTTATCTTAATCACGTAAATATCCAGGAGTATTATTGCTAGATCACATAGAGAGCTTTATTTTTTGAAAATAATGACAAGTTGTGAAAGCAGTTATCCTACTTTGTAGTCTCATCAGCCAAAAAAAATGAGTTCCTATTACTCCACATCCTTGCCAGCATTAGTATTGTTAGCTTTAGATTTTAGTCATTTTAATAATGATGACATCATTTTTGTTTTAATTTATAGCCCCCTAATGACATATAGTAGGATATTGAGCATCTTTATTCTTACTTGGTATTTGCCACCAGTGTAAAGTTGTTAATTTGGGGACATTGATTTCTCCCCTCAGGTGTCATCCCTGTAGTTTTCCCAGTATCAGAGGACCCATGGTCTCCCTTATACTGTTCCTTCCCTGATGTATGGAAATAAGAATAAAGATGCGATGCTCAATATCCTATTTATGTCATTAGGGGGCTGCAAACTAAAACAAAAATGATGCCAATATTATTAAAATGACTAAAATCTAAAGCTAACAATACCAGTGCTGGTAAGGATGTGGAATAACAGATCGATGGTCAACTTGCAAGTTTTGTCTTTTTTCTGATCCCTTATTTTACATGTAAGTGAAACTATCTTGATATTTATCAGTTTTGGGGCATTTAGATTGCTTTCCATATTATAGCTGTTGTAAATAGTACTGCAGTAAACATGGGGGTGCTGGTTTCCTTTCAAATTGGCATTTTTTGTTCATTGGGTAGATTCCTAGGAATGGAATTGCTGGGTGATATGATACATATACTATTAGTGTTCTGAGGAACCGCCACACTTTCCATAGTGGTTGGTCCAGTTTCAGTCCTATCAGCAGTGTAACAGGATTCCCCCTTTTCATCAGATGTATGTTCAGATCTTTATCCATTTTTAAATTGATAAATTAAAAAAAATTTATGATGAGAGTCCTTTATATAATAAAGAATTGACACCAAGTGTGTCATGTTTTAGAAGTGTGGTCATCCCTGTAGAAACAAAGATGAAATGTAGCAGTCAAAAGTACACTATTGTGATAAGTTCCTCATAGGCAGAGTGAATGTATAAGTTTCTTGAAACTTGTGGAGGGATTAAAGGATGGAAATAGTACCAACGAATTGGTTTAACTTATTGGTAGCTCTTTTTGTGACAAGGTGTGTCTTGTTGGGTTGAATAGGTACCTGTATTTGTCTTTTCAAAGAGTTTGAAGTTGACCCATCCACCAATTTTATTAACTTAAAAGCTTTGTTGAACTAAACTGTTCTTTGTATTAATTAGGTATCTTGTAGAACTGGGCTGTATCAAGCCACTCTGTGATCTCCTCACAGTCATGGACTCTAAGATTGTACAGGTTGCTCTCAATGGATTGGAAAATATCTTGAGGCTTGGAGAACAAGAAGCCAAAAGGAACGGCACTGGCATTAACCCTTATTGTGCTTTGATTGAAGAAGCTTATGGTAAGAGTGGTTGATAGATGTACTGAAATTTTCTTTCCATGTTTTTCTGACCTGTCCACATCTTTATTAGCAAACCCATATGAAAAATGTTATGATAATTAGTGTGCTTAATTGGTAGGTGTGAAAAGAATGAAAATGCCTTTTAGTTTAGCCATTTAGTAAGTCAGAAGTAGAGGGGGCTCCCTGGTGGCTCAAGGAGTGAAGTCTTAGCACTGTGATGCTGCTGGCACACGTTTAATCCCTGGCCAGAGAGAGCTGAACTACATGGTGAAGCAGACTCTCGTCTCACTCCCTGCTCCCCTCAGCATTGTATTTCAGTCAGTCTGCCTGTTCTGCTCCCCACTGTCTCTGGTGAATCCTCTCACCCTCCACAACTCTGGCCTAGATCCCAGTTCTTGTATGCATAAATAAAAATAAATCTTTAAATAAAAAAAAAAGTTGAATATATAAAAGTTCTACTTGCTTAGTGTAAGAAATTTGGAATGTTCCTCTACTGGGAGAAATCTTGTGATGTATATACATATATTTCAGTTTTTTTTCCTTCAAGCAATGGTAACATTTATTTCTGCTATTTCTTTAGTAGTTATTATAATTGCATGAAAAAAATAGCTCAGTGGACTTAAACTTGATAAAGGGTATGTGTTGAGTTCAATTTCTAGTTAGATTTCTCAGCTTAAGTAACTGAAATAGATTCTGATTTGTTTAAGGTTATAACACATTTGTTTAAATGACATTAGAGAGCTCAATGCCAAGAATAAATTAGACCACAGACATAGTCCAGTAAAAATAGTTTTTTATTTTTTTAAAGATTTTTTTTGTGTGCATATAGAACCGGAGTACAGGCCAGAGGCGCAGGTGCGATGAGAGGACATACCAGAGACAGAGTGGGGAGCAGAACAGGCCAACTGGCCAACTGATGAAGTACACTGCTGAGGGGAGCAGTGGGTGGGTCAGGAGAGGTCTGCCGCACCATGTGGCTCACCTCCTGGGCGGGGATTGAACTCATGCTTAACATGGCTTCAGCTTTTCAGTGCTGTGCTTTAACCCACTGCGCCACTAGGGAAGGCCAGGAATAGTTCTACTGGATGATGACTTAGAGAAATGGTTGCTTCTGGGATCTTCCCTGGTGGCCTAAGGCTTAAGTCTCAGCACTATCACTGCTACAGTCTGAGTTCCATCCCTAGATAGGGAGTTGACCCACAAAGGCACGGTAAACCTTTCCTGTCTCGTCTGCTCCTCCCCTTAGCATTCTATTTTTAGTAAACCCACCTGTTCTGCTCCCTGTTCTGTCTCTCGTGAATCCTCTTACCCCTAAAAGTGTTGCTTCTGGAAATGGACTGTTGCTTGCTTATATGTTTTAAGACACCAGTTTGTAATACAAGCATTTAGATAAATCGGCCTAGTAACACTCTTCTGTGCTATTACAGAATATTTAGCATGTAAGTAGAGAAGGGCTTTTTTTTTTTTTTTTCCAAGGAAGGAGACCTGGCGCAAAATACAACTTCATTGGAATTCCCAATAGATACAACACATTTTCCTTTATTTTTCATTCTAGGTCTGGATAAAATTGAGTTCTTACAGAGTCATGAAAACCAGGAGATCTACCAGAAAGCCTTTGATCTTATTGAGCATTATTTTGGAACCGAGGATGAGGACAGCAGCATTGCACCCCAGGTTGACCTTAGCCAGCAGCAGTACATCTTCCAGCAATGTGAGGCTCCTATGGAAGGTTTCCAGCTTTGAAGCAATACTCTGCTTTCATGTTCCTGTGTCAAACCAGGCTACCCAGTCAAGTCTTCTTGTGGAGCCCACAGTCCTCATGGAGCTAACTTCTCAAATGTTTTCCATATACTGTTTGCGCTCATTTGCTTGCATTGCGCACCTGCTCTCTTACACACATCTGGAAAACCTCTGGCTCTCTGTGGTGGAATACCCTTCTAATAAAAGGGTAACCAGAGTGGCCCACTCTTTTATGGAAAATCCCTAGGCTTTGGAGATCTGCACTCATGAGAGTCATGGGAATATACACACATTAATGTGACTCCCTTTTTTTTGTGGGGGAAAAAGAGGACTCCACCTCATTCCCTTTAAAGTGGGAAAATATACTGACTTTAAAGGATGAAACTAAACCTTTGAATCTCACACAACTACTTGCAACAAGGGATATTGTTTAGACCTGTTGTGAATACTTCAGAGTACTTTTCATGAGTTCTTCCACAGTGAACCCTTGGATTACCTGATGGCTTTTTCTAGCCAAGTTTGCATTACTCCTTACTGAGATTGGATGGTTTTCTTTTCTCTATTGGCGCCATTCTTCACAGATACTAAAGTTAACCATCCGCTCCCTCACCTTCAGCCTTCAGTGAATGTGCTTTCTAGTTGTCAGGAATGCTGAAGAATTAACACTTTGACTCTTACATAGAATACTGGTTTGAGGTTCCCTTAGTGCAGAAAAAGTGAGGAGCACATATTAATTTGTATGACTGTTTTGCTTCTCTTTGATCTTATGTGTCTTAGGATTTGGAAGTGGTTCAATTCTAATGTTGGTATGAAGATTTAGAATCCTTAGTAATCAAATTCAATAAAAAGTAAAAAATAAGCAGGAAAAAGAAAAACAACCCTCTAATCTCCCCAAACTCAGTTAGTGAGAGGCTGTTTCTACATTGAAACAAATGTTTCAGGCTTTGTGGTCCTGATAAGGTCCTCATTAAATTGGAATTCACCCTAGGTGCTTTTTCAACATTCTGTGACTGGTAGATAACACATACTTTTAAGGGTTACTTAGGGAATTTTTTTTTTTGAGTTGGCTGCAGCTTGATTTTAATATTTTCTTGCTGCGTATATGACCCCTTTAATGTAGCATCTTTACCTGAAACAACCATTTTTTCAATGTGACATGTTTAACCTAAATAAGGGCAGTGATCTTTTTCTTACAACCTCATTATTATCTAATAATTTCTTACTTGTACTTCCCAGTCAAATCCACTCCCCCCCCTTCAAAACAAAAACAATTTTTACCTTTCAGTCAATGACAACTACAATCTATACCTGCAAATGGCGCTTCCAGTACTGTCTTCAGTGATTCACATTTGTGCATGGACTGGAACGAAAAAAATAAGCTTAATTGCCAAGAGAACTGCAACTGAGTTCAATATGACTTCTTGGTGCTAGTTGGCTATTTTGACTTAATGTTGGGACACACTTATCAGAGAAGATTTTTTGTTGATGTGCTGTTGAAAATGAATTTGGAAGGAAAAGTCACTTGTTTCAGAGAATACCCTTTTAAACCTGTTTCATCTTGTCCTCTTACTAGAATTTACTCTTAACTCCAAAGTGTAACTTTTTAGGACTTCCCCTCACAAGCTATTGTACATCTCTGGTAAATCCTACTGAATGTTAGGGATACTCAGAGCTTTCTTACCTCATCATGTTATTTAAGCAGCCAATTTGTGACCCAGTTTGAACTAAAAATCCACTTCATTCAAAGTAGAAAGATACAAAGACAAAGGACTTTAACAGCCAAGTGTGTGAAGCATCCTTCGCATCTAGTCTGTAGTTGTGTCTGTGCTCTGATGGAGACCGTCTGATGTCCCTCTGTTACTGATGGAGCAGCCACTGCAAAACTAGTCAACTCCCATCGATAACTGTTACTTTTTCTAGTGCTGCTTTGTGCTGAAAGAACATTTTAGTTTACTGCACTTGACCTGTAAAAGACTGATTCTTTGTAATTATAGGGGCAAATTAGGTGGTTAATTTAAAGAAAAAATTTCAATGTTGCCTTTACATCACATTAAAATATACTTCTTTCAGAAGGGTAATAGAAGCACTGATTCATAGTAAAAATCTTGTTTTTAGCTTTGACCTTTTTGTGGCTGAGTTTTTTTAAATTGTAAATTACTGGTAATATGTGATTTCAATAGGATGTTTTAAATTATGTACCTTTTATTGGATAATTTAAAATACTCAGTTCATTTTGGCAAAAAACTAGTTTGAATGAAAAAGTCTAAAGCACACAAGGCATTTCCCACATTAGTAATACTGTAGATTGGAAATATTTGCTAGTGATTGTAGGTGTCTCAGTGATGAATTAAAACAAAGAAAAGCTGATTTAACTAATGTGGTCTACTTTCTAGTTAAACCAGTGGATTTTATCTTGCTCATGTTCTAGAAGTTTGTGAGCCATAAGATTTGAGCTAAATTTTTTAATAAAAAAATTTTTTTAATATAGAAATGGGAATTGATTTAAAGTTAAGTCCCAGAATAATTGTTGGAAATGATAGAGCAACATTTGTGGTAACAAAAGATATGTCAGGGTGTAAGTCTAAGTTCTATTTTTAGTTTCCTGCCTCGCAAACTTAATTTCAATTTATTGAGTACTCTTTATCACTTAAGATGTTACTTATTGCAAAATCATGTAAATTTCAATACAGGAAAACTGCTGTTTTATCTATTGCTAGGGGTAGGAAGAAGTGGTTTGATTTTGATTTTTCCCTTTCCCTTTCCTCCTCCAAACTTTCAAAGTATACTGCTTGTAATGAGAACCTTGGTGGACAAAAATGCATCAAAACATTTAGAATGTAAAGGCACCTTGTATCTTAAGTATCAACAGGTACATGTGGTTAGAATGAGAAAAACCAGAAAAGGTAAGATGATATTATATGAAGAAAAGTAAGATTTAGGAGACAGAGTTCTTCATGGAACACTTTTAACTCACGTTCTTGTCACTAAGTAACTAGGACTGTTTAAAACTGATTATCATTGTCAACTGTATTGTTTTTGGAAAAAACTGTTGCCCCAGGACTGTTTCCTCCATCTGCGTGATAAAGCTAGTTGGGCTCTGGGTCATTTTCTTTATTGTTACAGGTATAAACATTGGCAATTACCCCATAATAAATTTGAATTATTCCAGATTGTTGCTGATTTTGCCTAAGGAAAAATTTGTAGTACATTTTAAAAGCCAGACTTTGTCAACTAAATCCTGTTGTACTTGACTGCACATGGGCAACTTTACACTTCTATAGTGCTAAATAAACATTTCAGTATTTAATCCCCCAATTTGGGGTTTCGTTATGAAAGGGTTTTCCTTGGGTTAAAGAACTGTTTCTTTTTGCTGGTTAGTTTTTCTTTCTTTCTTTCTTTTTTTTTTAAATCAGTAGGTAAGTCAGAACTAATTCTAAGGCGTGGGCTTTTTACATATATTGGAAATTAAGATGTCAAAGGATAATGTTCAGTAAAAAAAAAAATCCATTTTTAGAATGGGGTATTGCTTGCCTTCTGTATTTATATAAGACATCCTAGTCTAAAACTTGGAATTTGCAGACATAGGTTTACTCAGGTTTGAATTCCTTGCTGTTTTAAATCAGTAGCCATTTCTGTGGTGAGATGAACAGAAATAACTGCCCACCTGGGAAATATGATGTGCGAACTTTTTTTTACTAGTAGCTATTTTAAAGAGTTAAAAGTACTAGAACCCCAAAGGTGGCACCAGTACAGTAAGTCTGCTCTAAGGGGAGAATATAATATGCCTTATTGGCATAACAGGTAAGGTAGTTAACAGTGGGTAACAGGGTATTAGAAGAATATGACATACATATATATTTAAGTTACTGTAACATTGCTATTTGGGATAAAAAATAAAAAACAAAATGAGGTTCTATTTTATTTCAATGAAAGGTAGACTAAGAAATCTGTTTTCCTATAGGTCATATACAATCTTGTCTATTTGAGCCTCCCTGGCCTAGGGTTTTCACTGTCGTTTAATTCTCCAACTGCTCTTTGAGGTGAATAATTGTCACAATGTCATAAATGACAAAAGTCAAGACTTAGGAGAATTTACCAAGGTCACAACCCTCAAACACTGTTTGCACAAAGGTGGGAAAGGGCACTCACTGCAGGTGTGTGTCTTGAAAAACAGTCACGAAGGTGTCCTTAGCCAGGAACTCCTAGAAAAGAACTTTGAACAGTGACTGTGCCAGCTCTTTTTGTTGTTATTTAAATCATTCTTGTTGATGCTTCCTCATAATCATTACCCCTTAAAATGAGTAAATCCATAAATTGCCTCTAGATGTACACTGGCCTCTACATCCTCTGAGAGAATCTACCAACATTTTCCTGTGGTGCTAAAATTCTGAATGACGATAAAACAACAGAAGTGAGGGGGAAATGCCATAGACTGATTTTAAGTTCAATAATATAATGGCTAAACTTGGAAATGTTTTTAACACGCAAATGCAGAAGTAAAGACTATGAAATGAACACATCAAAGCAGTGCCACATGTGAATTTAATGAACAACTGACTTCCTAAAGGTACACTGTTGTAGAGTCAAAAGTTTAAGGTCACCTTACTGTGTTCTGTTTACCGCATTTTGACCAGTAAGTACTCTGGGAAACTTTCATTTCAATGGATCTAGTGGTTCTTTGTATATAGTGTGATGAACACCTTGCACTAAGCAAATACTTAAGAGATTGTGGTATTAGCCAAGAGTATTTAGTTACCAAAGAAATGTTTAAAGAAATTATGTGCTACTTGAAACCAGGACTAACTACTCTGAGCAGACATGCAACATGTGTTTTATATAACCTTTCAGGAGACATAATCTGACTTGAAGTTTACAAAAGTACATACTTGTCATAAGAGAGGTTTTGTTACATTAAAAAAAAAAAAGCTATGCCCTCTAATAAAAGGCAGTGAGTATATTTTAATATAAAATCAACCTAATGTGTGACACAGTCTCATGTAAGGGGAAAAGAACTTTTGCTAATTGATGGAGAAGGTGCCTTAGGCTAGCTAATCAATAGGGATTTTTCACATACATTGTATATAGCATACAGATAACACATTCTCCTTTTTTCCCCATCTAACCTGAAATAGGCAATTGCTTTTCCCATTCCTCCAAGATAAGTGACAAGAAACAAAACTGGTGTATTTCTTCAATCCAGGATTGTTTTACTACCATTTTTGAGATTCTACTGACAGGTTTTTTTTTTTTTTGCCTAATGACTAAATCTTAAAGCAAATCATCATAAGTTCTTGCAGACCACAGCCATCTATTTTACAAAATCTGGGGGCTTGCCAGTTTATTATAGATCACCTTTGTGCCTATCTCACTTGCTGTTTTGAGAAAGTTTTCTCCAATTTAGACTATAAATACCATTGCAAAGTCATTTCTGTGACCTGGAATGCTTTTGCAAAGAATAAACTGACTCCTCTACATCCTTTTATCTACCCACTTAACTTGGAGTCAATGGTGTCCTGTGGTGGCCCACACGTCAGGTGACGGGCTTATCTAAACCACTTGGGTATACCTTTATTTAGAGATGTGGGTAAGGAAAAAACACCACCACAGTGGGCTTGGGCGATCTGACCAGGCTAGGGGTAACCATTACATAAACAGAATTTTTCTAGGTTAAATTGTAAATTATGAAGACAATTCTCAGGAAGACATGAGTGACAACTGCCTTGCTAGGGACAATAACTAGCCAGCCCATATTTAACCTGACTAGATGTTCATATATTTAACTGACTTAAGTGGTCTTAGGCAACTCGGGATGAACAAGGAACACAAGTCATTAGTCTTGATTTTTGAGGGCTGGATTTGGTAACGAGTCTAGTAAGGAAGTCATTCCTTAATAAAGTAATCACTTCCAGGTCATTGTTAAGTTTGACTAATTCTTTAAATTACAAAATCCACTTATCTTTTGTGTCTACTTAGACTATTTGAAAACTACACTGATGAGAAAAGTAACATATCAACCACGTGAGATTTCCAGTGGTGGTATGGGAAACTTAAAAGCTAATTTCTACATGGGATGGAAACTTCTAATTACCTTATTAAAGGCAGCAGAAGTAGAAATTGTTAAAAATGACAGCACCATGTAAGGCACTGCTTGAGAACCCAAATGCAAGTCTTTATGGTTTCTATCACTTGGATTAACCTGTACTTGTGTCCCCTGCTCCTACTCACGTACATGCCAGAGTGGATGATGCTCCCCTCCCTGCAAGGAAATAGCCTGAAATTCTAGTTCATAAGGACTGCAATATTAGGACGACCTAATAGTTTTATAGCACAATTAATGAGTAAAGATTTAATTATACTCACTGCTTTAACTTTTCTTTACACGAGTTCCTGATGCTGATTTGTAAACAAATTGTGACAAAAAATGAGATGCTGGAAAACTTCTTTAGTCAAATCTGGGGAAATCTCAATTTCTGGATACGCTTTACATTTCTAGTGGGCTACGTGTATTCCAGTACCAATACCCCAACCTAGTCTTCTAGTTATGTGTTTCTTTTAATTTCTTTCCAAGTGCAGTTATTGGAAAAACTAGATTCTTTGAAACAAAGCCTAGACTTTTTTTCTCTTAAGTGCTTTCAGTTACTTTTAATGAGTTAAAAGGGAATAGTTTCAATTGATGAAGTTGGTGTTTCTAAGAGTTACAGTAAAAAAAAAAAGTTTTCTTTTCAAAAAATGTTAGGGGAGGTGCATCAGGTCCTTGCCAACAGCTAGAAAGTACTTGGGTGCTTTAAGCTACTTTAAGAGATGTTCTTTGCCCTTCCTCACTGTGCTTATACCTCTGTCCAATTCCTGTCTAAATTCCAGAGTAGTAGTCTAGAAGTAATGAAGTTTTTAAAAACAGCGGACTAGGGCCCTCCCAGGTGGTGCAGCGGGTTAAAGCACTGCACTAAGAAGCTTAAGCCAATTCCGAATGAGTTTGATCCCCGCTTGCCCTGGAGGAGATCCACATGGTGTGGCAGACCTCTCCTGACCCGCCCGCTGCTACTTCGTCGCTCTGCCTGTTCTACTCCCCACTCTGTTCCCGGTGAATCCTCTTACCCTCCGCATCTCTGGCCTGTACCCCAGTTCTGTATGAATAAATAAATCTTAAAAAAAAAAAAAAAAAAAAACAGCGGACTAATTATGCTGTTGTGTCTTTAAAAGGTAAGACTCTCAATGACCCCTAGTAAGCATGAAATCTGACTCGTTGTTTGCAAATGCTTAAATTCTGGGGAGAAAATGTGAGACGGGCCTCTCCACTTCAGTTCTGACTTTTAAACAGCACTTACTGCCTCTCTCCGGTATTCGTTGCCAATTACCAGTCAAGCTACCAGTATTTTGGTTAACCTAGTTAATTCTCCCTTCAGTGTCTTTGAGCTTACAAGATCTGAAAAGACTGTATTTCCCGGATATTTGCACGACCATAAGTTGTTCCTTGAAATTAGGGGTATTTCCTTAAAGCCTAATTTTGAGTAATCTTTGAACCAATATTTTACGCATGTATATCAACTTTTTTCGCTTTTTGTCTAGCCGCCTGCAGTTTGTAGCCCGCAAGAAGGACCTCGAATAACTGTCCCTACCTAGGTTCTTTTTCTTAGCTTCGGCCGCCTTCTTTTTAAAGCAGCACTCAGGGACCTAAAGTCTGAGTAATAGAATTGCTCACTGTTCTGAAACATTTCCAAGGACCTGTACGGATCTGAACTCCGTTTCCTCGTTTTTTGTTGTTTTTTTTTTTTTTTTGTAAGTTTAGACCGCAACGAGTGCTGCAATTAACGCTAGCGCCGCGCCACCACACTGGTCACGACGCTACTACATACTGGTCAGTGATGACCCTTGAACTCCCCTTCCCGACACGTTTAGGGACTTTTACATCAGAAATCTCGCTATCTGCGTATAAATTCAGCTACACTCCCCGCCCACCTGCAGCCCAGCGCGCACCCACAAAGCTGTACAAGAGTATGCGTGGGCAGAGCTGCACAGCCAGCGGAGCAGCAGGATACACCGCCTCACCGCGGCGTGGTGCCCCCACAGCACGTGCCGAACGTGCGCTGCACCTGCCGTAAGGGCTTCGGAAAAGCGTGCCTCTCGCGTCACGGTTTTCAAACTCGAGTGAATGGTCTTCGAAAATACCGACTGCTTTCCACGCTGCCAGTCAGGGTCGGCCGAGGCCGCAGACACTTTCCCAGTAGCAGTTTCGGAGAGTCCAGCGCTCCCTAGCGGCGGGAGACCGCGAAGGGGAGCGGAAGGAAACGCCGAAGCCGCCTTCTGCGCAAGCGCAGGCACATCTCTCCCATTGGTTATCCTGGCTCCGAAGTGTTGATGGAGCTCCCACGGCGCATGCGCCCACTCGTACTTCCCTTTGGGGTAGTAATGGACGCGGTGTTGCGAACCTAGCTACCTGCGGTACGTAGCCCGCAAGACGGTCCTCGAATAACTGCCTATGTAGGTTCTTTTTCTTAGCTTCTGTCGACTTCTTTTTAAAGCAGCGCTCAGGGACCTAAAGTCTGGCTAGTAGGATTGCTCACTTTTCTGAAATATTTTGGCGCTGGGGGAGGGACGCTCCAAAGTACTTTCAGCAAAGTTCATTCAGCTCGGCGTCTCTGTGGAAGGCTTTATACATTCGCAAAGTATCCGACATTAATGCTGTTGGCTGGCAACGCATAGAACCCTTTCAATAGTATTTCTTATGTATTTGTTACAGAGGATGAAGAGGAAAAATTGAAGTGGTCCAAGACGTACTCTAAATCAGTGTATTGAAAAACGATCCAGATATTATAATCATTAAAAAGACCGTTTATTGTTGAGTGCACTGATTTTATCTTCATTTTGCTGGGCAGAAAGCCAAGACAACAGTCTGCCCGACTCAGGGCAGGACTCCTACCAGCCTACCGATTTGGAGCTTCAGAGCCATGGCAGCTGAAGGGTCAGGAGGTGCCAAAGCAGAATCAGTCCTCTCATCAGCCAATCGGATCAAGCACGTGCCTGAAAAAACAAACTATGCTCTCAAATTTACTCTTGTGGGTCATACGGAAGCAGTATCATCAGTTAAATTTAGTCCAAATGGAGACTGGCTAGCAAGTTCTTCTGCTGATAAATTAATTATAATTTGGGGCGCTTATGATGGAAAACATGAGAAAACATTTTATGGTCACACTCTGGAAATATCAGATGTTGCCTGGTCATCAGATTCCAGTCTTCTTGTTTCTGCCTCAGATGATAAGACTCTAAAGATTTGGGACGTGGAATCTGGGCAATGTCTGAAAACGCTGAAGGGTCATTGCAATTATGTCTTTTGCTGCAATTTCAACCCACCATCCAACCTCATTGTTTCAGGTTCTTTTGATGAAAGCGTGAAGATATGGGAAGTGAAAACAGGAACGTGTCTTAAAACTTTGTCTGCTCATTCTGACCCAGTTTCTGCTGTTCATTTTAACTGTAAGGGGTCCTTGATAGTGTCAGGTAGCTATGATGGTGTCTGTAGAATCTGGGATACTGCATCAGGTCAGTGTTTAAAAACACTTGTGGATGATGATAATCCTCCTATCTCTTTTGTAAAATTTTCTCCTAATGGTAAGTATATCCTCATTGCAACTTTGGACAACACCCTTAAACTATGGGATTATAGCAGAGGCAGATGCCTAAAGACATACACTGGTCATAAGAATGAGAAATATTGTATATTTGCTAATTTCTCAGTTACTGGTGGAAAGTGGATTGTATCTGGTTCAGAGGATAACCTAATTTACATTTGGAACCTTCAGACTAAAGAGATTGTACAAACACTAGAAGGTCATACAGATGTTGTAATCTCAGCAGCTTGTCATCCTACAGAAAATATCATTGCATCAGCAGCATTAGAAAATGACAAAACAATTAAATTGTGGATAAGTAATTACTGAATCCTTTAGAAATCATGTTAGTTAGGCAGAGTTGGCAAAATTGGCATATTTTAAAAGATGGTTTCTCTTAATTTGGAATGCTTTTTTTTTTTTTTAAGATTTATTTATTTGTGCATACAGAACTGGGGTACAGACCAGAGGCTCAGGGGTGGTGAGAGGCTTCACCAGAGACAGAGTAGGGAGCAGAACAGGCAGATCGACAAGTACACTGCTGAGGGGAGCAGCGGGCGGGTCAGGAGAGGTCTGCCACACCATGTGGTCACCTCCAGGGCAGGTGGGAATCGAACTCATGCGGAGGCAGCTTTAGATTCTCAGTGCTGTGCTTTAACCCGCTGACCGGGGAGGGCCCAGGAATGCTTTTTTTTTTTTAAGTGTCCTGGATTAGATGACCTTAAGATTTAAAATCTAAATTTACAGAGCAAGATGTTTGGAAAAGCAGAGCTAGAACTGAGGACGTCTGACTTAACCTCGAGGTGTGTTAAAATCTTTTGTGTTTATCTCAACATATTTACATTCAGTTCCTCTTAAAGACTATTCTACAGAATTGACATATTTAAGAAATATTTAGAAGTAAGATTCACAAGACAGGATGACTAAGTAAAGGAGAAAGGAATTTTGTAATAAACTCAAAGTTCTTGTTTTGGGACCTCAGATAAGCCAGGGACTGAAAGATTGGAGATGTGTGTCAGTTGCCACACCCAACGTTAGGTGATAGCCCACATGACTGGACATGAAATGGTTCACGGACTCGTGTGCAAATTGGGAGTAAGTCATGCATAGTTTCTTTCCAAGTAAAAACTTAGTTACAAAGGCCAAAACCAGTTAAAAATGGCATTTACTGCCTTGTCAGGTTGCGCCCCATGACTTTTAGGGAAACCAAATGTCACAGTGTTAAGGCTGCTCTCTTCCCTTCTGTCTGATCTGTAAACTTCTGTTTCACACTTAGCTTAGAAATCACTATTTTGTGGAGCTATTAATGCTTCTCTGACTTCAACCACAGTCACAGCTGAGTTATGTTTCTTTGTTCCTTTCTTCCATGGTGTGTTATATATAGTGTATTGGTTTCATGGGCCACCTTTCTTCCATGGTGTGTTATATATAGTGTATTGGTTTCATGGGCCACGTTTCCAGTAAACAAGATACAGACCAGGTATGCAGTCAAGAAGTCTATTTTACTCCTCTTTGTATTCTTGGTTTTTGTACACGGAAGGGTCTCCAGTAATGCTGGATGAATGACATGATGCCAGCACTAGAACTCCATTGATTCCCTACTTGCTTTCAATAAATTTTAGTAATACTGTTGACACAGGTTATCTGACTATAGCCTTACACATTAACTTTATTCAGACAGGCCTTATAGGAAATACAAAGTAGAAAACTTTACCCGTGCAAACACTGTAAACATACAAAAATATGTCTCTAAATTAAGCAAAAGAGTGTTATTTAACAGAAAGCAACACAGGAAAAACTGCCTTATTTGTATCTTACAGAACCTTAAGACAGTAGTAGTTAGATTTGATTTGTGTGAAAGTTCTGAGATGGGGTATGACTGGAGTCATGACTAAGTTGTTAATGTTAGGGCACTGGGAGAAGTGTAATTAGATAAGGGCTATGGGTGAGTCTGAAATTCTGGCCCAGAATTTCCAGTCAAGAAATTCTTATTTAATCCAATCATACGTAGTCTCTAGTTAATGAATAGGGGAATGACACAAGATGAAAAATGTAAATTCTTGCTGCAGGTAACACTGATGAGCTTGGATTGAATAAAACATTTCATTTTAATTTCCATGATAAAACACTGAATGTTTCTTCAGAAGTTAAAAATGGTACTATTCAATGGAGAAGAAATACTTATTTTTAAAAGAAGTACATGAAGATTTACCCATATTTAAAACATTGTATAGGTAAGATACAACAATCATAAGTGTGCCAAAATAATTAAGAAATCATAATACATGAACAGTTCCTTTTGATAAATATGCAAGTGATAAAAGTTAAATAATGCAGTATCTTAAAAAAGCTAAATTTATTCAAAGTACATCGCAGACATTAATGCCATCACATGCATAAAGTAATACATTTTACCTTTTTTAAAAAAAAATTTATTTATGCATACAAGAATGGGGTACAGACTAGAGGTATGTGTATTGGGTGGGGCTGGTTAGAGGATTCACCAGAGACAGAGTGGGGAGCACAAGAGGCAGACTGGTGGGTCAGGAGAGGTCTGCTGCGCCATGTGGGTCGTCACCTTGGCGGGAATCAAACTTGTGTTGCAGTGGCTTCAGATAGCTTCATAGTTCTGTTCTTTAACCCGTTGGGGCACCAAGGAGAGAGCCCCATCTCACCATTTTATTAAACTGAGTTCCCAAGCCACCGAATATATTACTCTCAACCTCTGGAGAGGACTAATCATCCACAAATACTCATAAAGCACAGAGAATAGCTGTTTAAAAACCTGCATCCACACAGACAAGTGGCACCCCGAGGTGTAAATAAGATACATACCAAGTGTAAGCAAGCAATGCTGGGATTTCAAGGTCCTCAGAAACGTATGTCCAGACCACACCCATCCTACCAAGACTTCTAACACTGTTCTAAAAGCTTGTCTGCTGTCCTCCCAACCCCGGATGCTGAGAAGCACCACTGCACTTTCTCCAGGTATGACATGAAGGAAATACAGAACTAGAGGTCACTTTGGCATCTAGGGAAAGTTGTTTTGGCAGGATTTAAAGTGAGATACGGCAAAAAGGAGTTAATATTAAAATAAACTATCTCGTTTTTAATTATTTCATTTTCCCCAAAAAGCTGAGAGGCTGCAGCTTGGATCAAAGCTATAAAGTACAGACAAGTCATTTCTTTCAGAAAATTTATTTGTACCTCCAGAGCAAAAATAGGGCAGTGGTATAAACTTGTGCAAACCATACTTTCAGGGAGTGGATCCTCACACCATATTCTTGCTGCAGCATTACCCTGGATTTCAGGATCCAGCCAACACAGATACTTCCTTTACTCTGTTTTGGCCTTCATGGCTGCTTCCTCTCTCAGACGAGCTTTCTTTTCTAAGTTCAGGCTTGTTAAGGACTCGTGTCTTTTGGCAGCCTAAGGTGAAATAAATTCGAACAGGTTATTACGCCATCACTTGGCAGCAGCTGAGTGAGCAGTGAAGCCAGAGAAAGCCGCAGTGCTTGCGCACTGGGCACCCGGCGCCTGCTCTGAGTCACTTTAATGCTTCACAGTAGCCCACTGAAACATGAGGGGGCAATTCCACACTTCAAGCTCCTGTCCTGTGTGGCCTTTAAGTCTCCTGGTCTCCCATTATAATTTACCCTGGCTTTCGCTTTTTCCCAACTACCTTATTTCCCTTTCTGTCCCTTTTTTCCTGTTTTCTCACTTTATTACCATGTTTCCCCCCTCAACTCACTGTATATTATCACACCCCTGTAGTTCCTTTTCCCTCTTTTACCAGAAATAGTCAGCTGTGGAGATCCCAACTACCAAAGCATAATATAGATGATTCTCAGCAGTGTCTAGCCTACTACCTCCTTTGAGGGCAAACAGCAGTAGGCAAGAGGAACCATCCTCTTGCCTTGTTCTCCCATGTGACCTGATGCATGTCTGAGAAACTTAAACACACCAATTAAAGATTTTCTTGGTAATTTAAAAATTTTTTGTGATGTTAAAATAGTACCCTCTAAGGTAGCATTTTCTTATATCTGTAATTTCACATGTAAAGAACTAGGTATAAGTATGGATAGAGGAAGAGGAGTAGAATGTGATAGCTGATGATGAGGATGAAACACAATGGCTAATTCCTAAAATTTTCTCCAGTAGTCTTTATCAACTTTTAAGAAATGGACAGTTCAAGGTTATGGGCTAGAAATGGGAGAACTCCCATTTCTAGAGAACACAATGCCTATCTGGATGATGCTAAAGGAAACCCTAGGGAAGAAATTGGTTTTCTCGGGTATTTAAACTCAGCAGTATTATCAAATAGACAAAAATCAATGAAACTTGGAGTTCCAGAAACTCACATGTCCTGTCCACATGCTGCTTCTCAATCTGAAAATAGCAGGAGAGGTGAAAGTGGGAAAAGGAAGAGAAACTGAAGTAGGACGGCAGTAGAGTGGTCAAGAAAATTTCAGCCAGGTCTGCACACATGCCCTATGTACCCACAAGGTCAGCCTAGATGGCCAGTATTTCCATTTAACTGCAAAACTCTGAAGAGCCAGAAGTTCATTTCCTTTTACTCTGAACTCCTGGAAATAAGGATACTATCATCAGATTTAAAAACCTTTTAAATATCTGAATATAAGATGTGAGACATGGATTAAAATAAGGATTTGACCAGTACTGCTTCATATAAAATTAACTTTCTCAGTCATATGATAGTATAATATCAAGTTTGGTTAACTTATAAATTTAGCCCTTAATTTTTATCTTGCCACTTATTAGCTGTGCGATGAGAAAAATTAATGTTTCTAAGCATGGGTTCCCCTTTCATAAAACATGGATAATAACAAAATCCACTTTTCACATTTCTAGGGGTACTTTGGTGATTAAATCAGTTAAACAGTACCTGCTATATAATAGTCAATAAATGGGAACACTTTACTATCACCTTCACTAGACAGGGTTAGGTTCCACTGTGGCTCTGGCATTAGGAAGATGTGAGGTCACAGGCAACACACTGATGCTCTCTAAGCTTATAGTTATGTCATCTGCACATGAGGTCCTCATAGCACTACCTATCCTGCAGTGTTCTGGTGAGGTGGAAATGAGACGACTGCAAACATCTTCCAATACAGTGAACATTTCATCAGTGACAGCTGTTAATACGATCTATGGTAGAGTTTTGGGCTTAGATTCCTACATGCCACTTAGGAGCAATGGTCCCATTTGGGCTGAGCTTTAAGTAAAGACGAATGATAAGAATACTCACCAGGATTAAGGCAGTTAAAGTGAGGTTGAAATAACCTTATGTGGATACTGCTCTGTAGACATGCAAGGGTTTATCACAAAGTACACCATGTCCTAATTCTTGTTGCACATTATGATATGTGTAATAAGCACTTTTTTGTTTTACTTAATATGCAATTTAGTTGTTCACCTTGCCAAAGGTCGGATGTGCAATTTATACCCAGACATGGTATCCCAGATTTGTCTCCACTTTGTCTTACTTTTTTTTTATTGCCTGTATAGAGTGACCTCCTTTTCTCAGAGAATACATACAAGGATCAACCTGAAACTTCCTTGCATAGAAAGTTCACTCTCACCTTCTTTCCCTCAATAACCATCAGGACGCACCCCGCTACTGTCAAGGCGATCATTATGTAGCTGATCTTTACCCGGACCTTATTCTTTGCAGCGTCAAGCATCTCAAATCTAAAACACAATGAGATTTTGAGAGTTAATTTTTATGTTTTCTGAAGTTTCCAGCAAGATACAAAGCTCTGTGTATCACAAACCAAAGTGTGGCTGAGCTTATAAGCACTGAAAAGGAAGTAGGGCATGCAGACCCACAATTATTTATGTGTTTAATATAAAACACAGTGAGGTAGCACAGATTTTAAGTATAAAAAAATTATGAAGACAGTGGCAAAAAAAAAGGGGGGGGGGGGAGAAAACAATGTATATTAACCTATGCTTGCTATGATTGGCCCTGATTTTAGAGCTCAAATTTTACATTAGCAACCAATGCTAAAAGTAAAACCAGGAGTTAGTTCTCTGTGAGATTTTTAGGAATTTTATGATAAAATGACTGAAAAACATCCTGATAATGAATACTTCAATGAAGTTCCTAAGTTTCAATACAAAGTACATTTAAGAAAGAAACATATGAGGAAGAATTAGATAATTTACTCTATATCCATTTTTTGCTCTCTGCCTTAAACCAGGTATATATTTGAAAATATTGTAACAGTAAAAAGATCTTTAAGCAATGCTCTGTTAAAATCTACATTTTAACTAATGCTTTACTAAAAGTGACAACGAACTTGAGGTTGTGCTCTAGGGCAAGTACCTCTTTAACCTGAGTGTAGTACAGGTGCCTTGACAAAAAGCTGACTGCATTATCATTTTTGTATGCAAGCTAAGAGGCCGATAAGGAAGAGTCTCAGGAGAAGGCCCCTCTCCACCTTGGTGATCATGCAGGTAGCCAGTGGGTCATGGCTCTTACTACCTGACTGCCTCAAGGTAGGCCGTGCGGATTTCAAATGGGCCCAAGATTGATAATGGCCTACTCAACAGCAAGTGATTATCTCCAGATGACAGAACTGGAGAGCTTTCTTTAATCACCTCCTCCCCCCAGTTTTTAACACATACCACTGTTGAAATCATGGGGAGTAAAAGTTTTTTTTTAATGCTTGGAAAAAGGTACAAGGTCCGGGACAGTGGAGGAGAACCCTGAAAGCACACACAATGTGATATAAAGCTGGGACCCAGAGAAACAGCAATGTGAACACAGTTCTTCAGGCACTGAGGCAGGGCCTGCAGGGTGGTTGGAACCAGGACAACTGCTAAGGACGGAGAAATGTTTCATGAAAACATATTTTAAATTTGAGGGGACATTACAAACACAAAGTTCATTTTAGTAAGATTATGAGGTTGCAGGCCCTCCTTGGTGGCACGACGAGTTAAAGCACAGTATCAGGAAGCTGTCCACAGCCAATGCAGCACAAGTTTTATCCCTGGCCAGGGACGACTCCCACATAGTGTGGGAGACCTCTCCTGACCTGCCCGCTGCTCCCCTCAGCAGTCCATTTCAGCCAATCTGCCTGTTCTGCTCTTCCCTCTGTCGCTGGTGAATTCTCTCAGCCCACCCCACTCACCTCTGGCCTGTACCCCAGTTCTTCTATGCTAAAGAAATAAATCTCTTAAAAAAAAAAAAGGATTCTAAGGTTGCACTCTATGCACTCTACAGGAAATAACCAGATGAGCAAGTTAAGCAGTACCTATTCAGAATTACCAACATAAGGATAAACAGTTACTGAGGCCCAGCAAAGAGCCTTGCAGGGTAACTCAGTAGACAGAACTTTGAACTTGAGGGACTCTTGGAACCACCTACATAGCAGACTGAGGGTGGTGTTCTACAGCAAAGTCTAATTTAGCATCTATTTGTAGTTGGCTATCAAACGTTTTTTTCAGATTTTGACATTCAGAATCACTTATGTGGAATACAAGAAACAAAACAAAAGGTCAGACAGAACAAACCAATCACAAACCCTTGAAGTATGACTATAGAACTGAGGCTACTGGAGGTTCAGGGCAGGTGGACAGAAGGGTGTATAGTGGGCCCAAAGGCCCATGATGGAGGACTATGGATGCCGTGGTAATGGGGGTGGTAACACATCTGAAAAGATGTGATCTTGTATTTCTCAATCAGGGTGTTGTAAACCAGTGTTACCTCATTAAAAATAAACTCTGGAGGCCCTCCCTAGTGGCACAGCGGGTTAAAGCACTGCACTAAGAAGCTTAAGCCACTTCTGCATGAGTTTGATCCCCGCCTGCCCCGGAGGTGACCACATGGCGTGGCAGACCTCTCCTGACCCGCCCGCTGCTCCCCTCAGCAGTGTTCTCCGTCGATCTGCCTGCTTTGCTCCCCACTCTGTCCCTGAAAAATCCTCTCACCCTCCACATCTCTGGCCTATACCCCAGTTCTGTATGAATAAATAAATAAATCTTTAAAAAATACATAAATAAATAAACTCTGGAAAGACAAACAAATAATAGTTTAGCACCAGTTAGGACAATGAATTTATAGTAACTTGTTTTCTCCTGGGAATATTGAGGAAGAAATTAGGGCTTCGGCAAGAACTGTTTTTCCATCATGTTCTTATTTCCCAGGAGAGCACAACTGAGCTAAGAAAGATCAGTGCTTTCCTACTGAAATAATTTTAATGAAAATAACATGCTATCTATTTTGACTGGTAGAAGCAGAAGGGACCTGTTATAAACAAAAGAAATACTACTGATCTCCCAAGAAAAAGATATCCTGAATAAACCCAGATTCTTTTCAATCTTCACTTGAAGCCAGAAGCCAGAAGTTCCAGGAATAGTTCTGTGCTAAAAGGAAATGTCCCAGAGATTTGTCCCAAGCCCCTGTCTATCCATAGGATGACACCCCATAGGGAGACAGGATCCTCTTCCCACACCATTGAGAAGACACTCTTTGTTCCACGTGCTTGCCATAGAGGAAACACTTGCCATAGTGAAAACTTTTAAAGCGTGGTTGAAAGATTTTAAATAATCAGACTCAGAGCAACTGCTTTTCATTAAAACAGATCAGTGAGAAATATAAGAGCTGCTAACAACCCTAATTGCACTCACGAGATTGTCTCTGGTATCTCATCTTCCTTTTTGAAGCGACCTGCCCATATCAGAATCTTCCTCTCCCAATCCGTGGGTTTGTGTAGTGGCACTCTGTGGGTGTAAGTGGCTATGAGGAAAACAAAACAAGATCTTATAAATTATGATTCTCAAATTTTGCAATAGGAAAATTCGATTTGTGCTTTCTAGCTATCTGCTAAGTAGAAACATGAAGAAACCACAAGCTAATCAGAGCTTTATCTGTATGGAATTTCTATGGAATGGCTCATACCCCAAATGAGAGCCTAAAATTCTGTGAGCACCAAGGTAGAAACTATTTTCCAGTAAAGTCCACGCCATTCGAAACTGAAAAATATGAAGGTATGGCTGAACTAAGATGGGAATGGTGAGGAACTTATTTGACTTCAGTAGAAAAAGCAAAAGATGCTGAGGTAAACTCAGAATATAAAAGACCTTGACTGTCACACAAGTTCCCCTTGACTTGGGAACTTTAGAATCACATATGAAGTGGCCTTCCCTGGTGGCACAGCGGGTTAAAGCACTGCAC